TTGGGTTGTCTCATTTTGTTATATTGCCGGCTATTGCCTCGTTTAGTTCATTGAGACACCTTTTTTGTTCACAGTAAACCTTGAGTTAGATTTGGTACTTTGTATTTAGTTAGGGCTCTTTAGTTTATTAGATTATTTTGTTTAACTCTGATTTATTTTCACCTTTTTTTGTCTTCCCTTACACTGTAAATAATAAATGCACAATTTTTTGTTAAACCTTTAACATCCAGTTTTTTTTGTTACTTCCCTTTCTCCCCTAGCAAAGGGGACGTAACAAATGGGGGCTCGTCCAGGATCAATGTAACCCATTTCCCGAGACTAAAAATTGTACTTGATAATTTTTACAGAGTAGGTAAGTAAATTTTTTGTAAGCAGGTAAGTGCATTTATTGGACAAATGGCTACGTTCAATCTCGAGAAATTTTTGGAACAGCCCACATTGGCTGAAATTGAACTATGTAGAAAGGATGATTTGATCAAAATTGCAGAGTGCCTTCAAATGTCCTTTTCTAAAACCTTGAGAAAAGCCAAGCTAAAATCCATTGTAGTAGACTGGTTGGTGGAACACGGCAGACTGCGGATAACCCAGAGGAGCAGCCAGAGGCACAGGCTGCGGAACAGAAAGATGTGTGACCGGATGCAACTACCTCCAGGTTTGCCTTCTCTCCCAAAGAGGAGGGTCTGTCGACTCCTCCAGGTGTGGAAGGAGAGGTTGCTGGGACTGCTGGACGGCCTGATCACCCGCACACGCTCCCCCGGTTCAACCCCCTTTCGCCCCCTAGCTTACCCGGTTCCAGGAAAGCCGCGGCTCAGCGAACGTTGCGCCTGGAGCGGCTGCGAATGGAGGCCGAGGAGAAGAAGGAGCGCAAAGCCCATATGGAGTTACAAATCCAAATCCGAAAAATGGAAATTGAGGCAGAGACCGCTGTTACATTAAAGCTTCTCGAGTTGGAGGCACAGGGCCGCCTCCAACTCGAGACGCGAGCTCAGAGCATGCAGGCAAATGTTTGTTGATTTCAAAAACAACATGAACATCCGTAGTAGGGATGGGTATCGTTAAGAAGTTGATATCGATACAGTGCACTTTCAGTTCAATTTTATATATTTCAAATCAATTTGATCCAGCTCAATAAAAAATAATGGCTAAATCGTGGCTGTGGTACTAAAAGTGTCTGTTAAACCATTTCTTGTGCAGATTTCATATGAAACGCAAACATTTTTATCATCAAAACTGAAAATGGCAAATGTGTTGCATAAACACATTTCCTTCCTCTAAACAAGCAACAAAACTCTAGCAGTGTAACAAAGTAATTTAGTAAAATATACCAAAAATACTCTTGCTGATATCTCGATACAGCAGTCCCCGATACGGATACTGTATAATTACATTAAACAATACGATATATCAATATTTCAATATTTTTGCACAGCCCTAGTCCAGAGCATTATCATTTGAGAGCAGGGTGTTCCTATCAGGGTTCCCTCACTTCTCTTGAAATCATTTTCCTGGACTAATCATGTAATCATGTACTGAGGACATATACTGCAGCCTAACTATTCTCAAGTTGTACACTCCAAGGCAAACGCAACAATTATATTCATGTATTCTATATATTCATTTCAGATTGTGGTACAACTGCATTGTATTTTTAGACATAAAAAATGTTCTTGATCTTGATAAAAAAATGCTCTTGTTCTTATAAAAGAAGAACATACAGCAGGTAAACTAAAAAAAAGTTTAAGAGGGTTTGAGTGACCTCAAGAAATTCAGTACAAATGAAGGGGGTAATGCCCTGCACTTTAGTGGGTTTTTGAAGTTTTTCAAAATCACAACTGCTCTTTTTTACCCTGATGCACCAACAATCTCTATTACTCAGTCTAACTACAGCAAAGCAAAGACATTTTCAAGGACATTTTTTTTTATTTCCCAAGACATTCTGTCCTTTTCTTGATTTTCATGTGTTTTCCATGTTGGGAAAACAGCCCAATTATTTTCCAGGTTTTCAAGGACGTGTGGGAACCCTGACTATTTGGAACATATCTGCAGCTATAAGACCTGGCTGGTACAATAGTTGTTTGGACTTGTTTTGATAAGACATGATCTGAATAACTGCAGGCTCTGGGATGTACCAAGAAACCATTTGATTTGCTGTGTCAAGATGATTCCCATAGTGCTCACAAATATGGAATTGTGATTCATTTTTTGTCAGATTTTCTCTAAAACTGAAAGACATTTTTATATGAAAGTTATAAGCAGTTGTGTTCATGTTAAGGAAAACTAGACTACGGCCTGGCTCCGCCTCGCCCCGGCAAATGCATTACATTTATCAACACTTAAATATGATATTTCTTCTTCCAAAGTCTGAACAGTGCTCCATTTGGTTACATGCAGGTACAGTCAGAAGATTTAAAAACCTAAGCATAGACTGATAGACCATTAAAGGACAAACGCTTTTATTCTCTCTTTTAAATGTAATTTCCTTGTCACTGGCTTAAAAAGCACACAGTCTCATGTACTAAAGAGAGCCAGGGGCTGTAGCGTCACTGTGGCTCCAACAGCTGTTGCAGCATTCCCAACATGTCTATGGACACTAAGGCCTTTGTGTGGGCTCTCATTGGATGATGAAAGTAGATCTACTCTACAGTACATTAGTTCACTAGTTGTAAAGTGAGCCAGTACATGTACTTCAAAACATAAGCATCTGCCCTTACTAGGAAGTGAACTAGGACCTTCTCGCTGTGAGGAAAGAGTCAACCACTGTGTAACCAGTACAGTAATATTACTGACCACTGACCACAGAGACATCATTAGCCATACACTGCTTTTCACTGCCTGTGCTCACTCAATACAGTTTACTGCAGTATTGATTTTGTCAGCTTAGATTGAGTAGCCTGTACTCTACTCCTGAGTCAGAGCCTTGTGGAGTGCATGGGGCTACTCCAGTGGAATGGCATCACCATAAGTCCAGTGAGGCAGCCGGACACTGCACCGGTTCTTTATAGTCCTGTGCAACCCTGCACATGAGCATGCACCACACAGGCTCTGGAGCAGGACAAAATGCACCATGTTGAGGAATTTCTCCAATGCAAACATCAAATAATAAAAAGAACTGAAGAAAGTTGTCTTGAGTCAGGGAGCACCGTCTGTCCCTAAGCTGGAACATAACAATGCCTACAGAGTTTATACAGTCCCTGACAAAAGCTCTGTCACTTCTCCATTTTGTAGAAACAACAGCTTATAACCTGACTTTTAATTAATCCATGGGTTTTAGAAATGGCTCATATAAAAGATTAAAACCCTCCCAAATTATGTTTAATATAAACGGGTCTACCGGACCTCGGCTTGTCAAAATCATCTCCAGTCTCTTCAAATCTTTTTCTTTGTAATTGATGCCAAGACACATTGAAGGTGTCAGCCACTTCAGCAGTGGATCTGGTCTTCAGCCTCTTGATAATTAACGCTTTGGTCTCAGGGTGGATCTTAGGCATGTTGTCAGAGGTCAAGTTGCAGTCGATGTGAAGGTCTGGTGTGCTGAGGTTCTTTTTATACACACCCACTAACTGACTGATCACTTATTGATCACAGACGAGGCTGTAATCTACAGTCCCTGACAAAAGTCTTGTTGCTTGGGTACAAGTTGACCTTGTGCCCTCAAATATAAGCCTAATCTTTTTCTTTCATAAAAAAAAAATAAAAAACAAGAAATAACTCATTTAAATCCCAACAGCTTTTGAAATAATGTTTTGGTGCCAAAACAAAACTGCTGAAAAGCATTTTAACGTTCACAGCTTGGTAAAGCCCACTGAGTCAGTTTTTGCAAAGACAAAGTCTTGTCGCCTTGTCATATGATGCACCCAGTCCTGCAGTAACACAAAGGTTACTGATTTGGGTAAACTACATTTAAACTATTGTAGAGATGAAGAAATGTAACTGTAAAAGAGGCCACGGCGAAGACTAGTGTGACTGTGTGTGTGCCTGCATGTGTCTGCATGTGTGTCTCTGCGTATGTGTGTGTGTGTGTGCGTGCGTGTGTGTGTAGCCATCTGCCCCTCTCCCCCGCTCCCTCTCATACAGCTCCACACCTTTTCTCCTCTTTTGCTTCTGATCACTACAATCTAAGTTACGGAAAGTTAACAGCTATTTTCTCACCATTTATTTCCAGAATTACTGGTCCTAACAACAAGAAATAAAGACTGTAGTGATCCTGACATACTGCTGTCTTATGCCTGTCTGTGTTTTCAGTGGAAGCTGGAAGAAGATCAAATATGGGAAAATAGTGAGTTTTTACCCCCTAGCCCTACCATAGTCCTATGTGTGTTCTCTTCATCATAATCCTCCTCCTCTGCTTAGGTAACCATATATTTTAAAATATAAATTGACGTAGTTATAATGTAATTCAAGGAATTTAAAAAAGTATTTTCTTAGTAATATTGTCCATTAATTTACATTTACAAAAAATACAGACACCGAAAAAAAGAACTGTTCAGGAACTGATATCAAAAGGCTGGCATTATTAAAGTACTGGTGTTGAAAAAGTCAAACAGTATCCATCCCTACTCATTACTTATTGTTTTAGTCCCTAACAAGGGTGGCAAACTGAAAGACTGTTGGCTAATGCTAGCTAACTTGTGACTATAATGTCATTTGAGAGGGACCTGCCAGTTGTAGTTCCAGCTAAGTCCGTTCTGGTCAGATCATGTCAAAACAAAGCTCAGAATAAAGTCTAACAGACTTTATTCTCAGACATCCCCAGGCAATGTTGATGACTTCAGCTGCAAAGTATCAATATTTGTATAGCACCCCGTTCTTTTAAAAAACTGGTTAAAAAGTCAACTCATTGAATTTAAATGCAAAGTGGTCACATTTTTACAGCACTTTTCTCTGGGCTCAAAGCACTACACATGAAGGAACCATACACCCATACGCACTAGTGGGAGTGGGAATCTAACAGCAAACCTTTGGTAGTGTGGGCAAACTGTATTAAATGCAGTAGGTCTGACCTGTGCGGCAGCGTAACCCGTCCTCCTGCAGCTCCTGGCCCTCCGGACACACACACGTGTACTTGGGCGAGTGTTTGTTGATCTGAGGAGCAGGGAGGCACATGTAGCTGCAGCCTCCATTCTCCCCCTTCTCCAGACACCAGTTTGTCCCTGAGCAGAGGACAGGATATCAGACTGTACATTTGAGGAGAACAGATTCTTCATGGAAATAAAGTACAAAGATTCAAAAACATGATTTTATTAGCCTGGCCAACCAAAACTGCACACCTTTTCTGTACTTTACACATGGATAAAGCAGTGACAAGTAGTCTGTTGTCCAAGTTAAATGAAGTGTATGTAGCCTGTGCTCTTAGAATCTGCCATGATTGTAGTATTTTTTTTAAAACTGGCTGACTGCAGATAGACAATATTTGGACAATATATGTTAGTGCAGCTGCAGAGTGCTGGGGGTTTTAGGTCATGATCATTCAGATCAGAGAGTCCTTTTAGGTTTAAACCACCTAGATTTCAGCATTGAAACTGGCAACCCAAATGAGACTCCTGAGGCTTTTCTGATTGGATAATCGTCTTGAGAACCACGCACCAAATACATGTCCAATGTTTTTGTAATAAAAAATAAATCTGCATTGCAGTTGCTATCAGGTAAAGTTATATTTGATTTGAAGTTGATCATTTTGAATCTGGGGACAGTTTGGTATTGGAATTTAAAACCAAAATCTTGCATAAGGTTCTTTCAGTGCAACAATCGATTTTATGAATTCTACATCAAACCGCAACACACAGAGAAGTGCCTCAAAAGCCTATGAATATTTTGCCAATATGTGCTGTGAATCTGGTGTGACAATAAAAGCTTGCCATGCCATTTCATAGCATTTCATAGACGGACATGTGCAATCACACTTAGAGCACTTATAGCACTCATCTAAAGCAGGGGTGTCCAAACTTTTTTCATCAAGGGCCACATATCTAAACACAGACAAAGCAGAGGGCCGATCGAGGGCTGTAGACTGATGCTCAGTACAGGGAATAATTGAAATGTCTGCATGTTTAACACGTTAGAATGAACCATCAGTCTTTATTCTTGCTAAGATCCTTAAAACCACACACTAAATATGAAATATTAGCTTTATCAAGGCAGATTTTCAAATAACTTGCAGTAAAAAAATATTTTTTAATTGATGCAAGGTAATTTGGGCCAATTCACCTGGAAGCCTGAGAGCCAAGAAAAAATTGTCTGAGGGCCGCATTTGGCCCCCGGGCCATAGTTTGGACATGCCTGATCTAAAGGTTCACAGTGTCATACCAGAGAGCTGGATGAGTTCGTGGTACACGATGATGTCCTGAGGGTCGTTGAGGTTACTGGCTAGTGTCACCACCTCAGACCCACTGAACTTATTAGCTCCATATATGGCTTTGTTTTCTCCATCCGTCCAGAAAACCCGATCCTATACAGAGCACACGACCCTCCATTACTCAACGGTTCATAATAATAAATGTAGAAGGGTGATCCATGAGCACACTGGCTGCATGGGTGTGGCTATTACCTCAAACACGGTGAGGGCAAAGGGGTGCCCCAGGAACTCTGCCGACTGCAGCACTTTCTTCCTGTTGTCCCCGTTCAGGTCCACACTACTGAGCATGTGCAGCTTCGAGTCCACCCAGTACAGGCGCCCTTTAATAAGGTCTGACCAACAGAGAGAGGGGGACAGGGACGGGGACAGAGAGAGGGACAAAGAGATAATGAGACAGAGACAGAGAGAGAGATATACAGATTATTTATTAATTAATCTATGTGTATATTAATGTATGGTCTGGCTCCGAAAGGACTTCAAATACCTGATGCCAGTATGGTATTTAATGTGTCTGTAATGCTGGTCTTACCCAGGGTGATCCCATTGGGCCACTGGATGTCTGTTGCCACCAGGACTTGTTTGTCCATCCCGTTCATTCCAGACTTCTCAATCTTGGCCGGTTCTCCCCAGTCTGACCAGTACAGAAACCTAAACACACACAGTTTAATCACTGAGACTAGGGTTAGTTATATAGTATGTAAAAGGCTTTATTTTGCAAAAATAAGATGCACAAACTATATTAATATACCACAGGCTGCATGCCAAGGGAGGTTAGGTTAGCACAGGACACTGATCTCCATTTCAGCTGAAGAAAAAATTAAAGCACCAAGAGTGCGCTCAGCTTCCTCCATTGCAACATATGTAAGAGAGGCCTCTGCTCAGACAGCCTCAGAACTGTGCATATAACAAAGATTTCATCTACCTGCTCACTTTTAAAAGAAGAAAATTTACTTTTTGTGTTATAACATTGTTCACTCATCAAAAACATAACTGAAGTTATATTTTATTTAATTTGCACTTGTTTATTGGAAGGATTAACAAACTGATCCGTAAAGCTGGTCATGTGATTAGCTGTGAGCTGGAGACATTTGTCACAGTGAGGGACAGGAGGACACTGCTCTCCTCCATCATGGACACTTCTGCTCACCCACTGCACCAGACTATGTGCAATCAAAACTGTGCTTAGGGAGTGTGCAGTTACTAACAGAATAGAAGATTGCGAAGAGCTTGCCTGTAAAGAATGACTTAAAGGTCCTATTGGTGCATCACTCGTGGTCATACTTGGTCTGTTATTTATGTTCTATGGTGGTCTTTATATGATGCTTTTGTTGTTGTGTTGTCCTGTTTTTGATAAAGCATGTGAAGCATGCACTTTGTGTTGCATTTTTGTATGAAAAGAACCATTTGATTCCCTGACCCTGAAAATGCGGGTTTAGCAGTTAAAAATCAACATTTTAAGTTATTCAGAGGCTGAAATATTTCAAAAAGAGATTTTTGGCGGCATTTAAAAAAAATATTCAATATGGCCACCATATAGACATGTGGGCAAATGCAAACATTGATTTTCTGACTCCATATACTATAACCTTTCCAAAAAATATATAGGTTTGCAAATCCCCCCAAAAATTCCCACAAAAGTATTTAAGGAACCGGACTAGGATGGAGAAACATGCAAACTCCACACAGAAAGGCCCGGGCGACTCGGGGATCAAACCCGGAACCTTCTTGCTGTGAGGTATGAGTGCTAGCCACTCAGCCACCGTGCAAATGGTGAACAGCCACCTTAACGTGGTGGAGGGGTTTGTGCCCGAATTATCCTGGGAGCTATGCTGTAGGGGGCTTTAAGCCTCTGGTAGGGTCACCCAAGGCAAACAGGTCCTGGGGGACGGGTCAGACCAAGAGCGGTCCAGAAGCCCCATATGACGAAGGACAAACATAGGCCAGCAACGTCGTCCAGATTGGCGTTACCAGGCCTCATTGTGGAGCCAGGCCTGGGGTGGGTACTCGCCAGCAAGTGCCTGGTGGCCGGGTGTTCCCCACAGGGCCCGGCTGGGCTCAGTTCGATGGAATGATGTGGGGCCGTCCTCCCATGGACCCACCACCCACGGGAGGATCCATAGAGTCCATAACAAACACCATGTTTGAGCACAAGGGTGTCCATCAGTGCAAGTGGCACCAGGACGCCCTAGGCCCGAGGTCGATGACTTTGTCGTTATGTCATCTGACCTCTGGCTGCGTGTCTTGGACACTCGGGTGAAGAGAGAGACAGAGCTGTCAACTGATCACCACCTGGTTGTGAGTTGGGTCCACTGGTAGATGAGATCTGTCCCGAGTACCTTAAGTCTCTGGATGTTGTGGGGCTGTCTTGGCTGACACGTCTCTGCAACATCACGTGGTGATCGATTCCGGCCTATAGTCGAACCTCGAATTCAGGAGGAGGAGGGTGGCCGTGGAACACTGGACCAGCTCTACACTCTCCATCGGGTGCTCGAGGGTTCATGGGAGTTTGCCCAACCAGTCCACATGTGCTTTCTGGAGAAGGCATTTAACCGTGTCCCTCGTGGTGTCCTGTGGGGGGTGCTCTGGAAGTATGGGGTCCGGGGCCCTTTGCTAAGGGCTGTCCGGTCCCTGTATGACCGGAGCAGGAGCTGTGTTCATTGCCGGCAGTAAGTCAGACCTGTTCTCGGTGCATGTTGGACTCCGCCAGGGCTGCCCTTTGTCACCGGTTCTGTTCATTGTATTTATGGACAGAATTTTTAGTCACAGTGAGGGGCCGGAGGGGGTCTGGTTTGGGGACCACAGTATCATCTCTGCTGTTCACAGATGATGTTGTGCTGTTGGCTTCATTAGGCCAGGACCTGCAGTGTGCATTGGGACAGTTTGCAGCCGAGTGTGAAGCAACAGGGATGAAGATCAGCTCTTCCAAGTCCGAGGCCATGGTTCTCGACAGGAAAAAGGTGTCTTGCCCTCTCCAGGTGGGTGGAGAGTCCCTGCCTCAAGTGGAGGAGTTCAAGTATCTCGGGGTCTTGTTCACGAGTGAGGGGAGGATGGAGCGTGAGATTGACAGGCAGATCGGTGCAGCATCTGCAGTGATGTGGTCGCTGTATCGGACCGTTGTGGTGAAGAGCGAGTTGAGCCGAAAGATGAAGCCCTTGATTTACTGCTCAATCCTCGTTCCTCCGAGGATTGAGCGGCTGGGCGCTCCCTTAGAGACAGAGTGAGGAGCTCAGTTACATGGGAGGGGCTTAGAGTAAAGCCGCTGCTCCTCCACATCGAGAGGAGCCAGCTGAAGTGGAACTTTGGAACACAAACTCTGGAATGCTCTGCCCCCCCATATCCCAACAGCCTCCACAGTGGAGTGTTTTAAGTCGTCTTAAGACCCACTTTTATTCTCTGGCTTTTAACACTGCGTGAGTTGTGTTCTCCTCTGTGTCTTTCATTTATTTTATTGGTTTTATTTATTTATTGCTATTCTATGTTTTTTGTTCTTATTTTATTGGACTTGTTTTATTGTTTTAACACTAGTATGATTAAATCTGAACGTTTATTTTATTATATTGTTGTTATAATTATTATTGTGTATTTGTGCAGCTCTTTGGAAACTATTTGTTTATGAAATGTGCTATATAAATAAAAAGGATTGAACTGAACTGGATTGGAGGTGCTGAGGAGATACTGACCCAGAGAGGGGGTCCACAGCGATGGAGGCAGGCTCCTTCAGGCCTCTGTCCAACAGGACCTTGTGCTTGGTGCCATTGAAAGTGGACACAGAGATGGTCTTGGTGGCCAGGTCAGACCAGTACAGGTGTTTGTAGATCCAGTCCACGGCCACGCCCACAGGAGTCTGCACATTCTCCAGCACTTTGACGTGAGCACTGGGATCTCCACGTCTGTCCAGAACCGTGCTGCAACACACACATCACGCATTCCATTTATATACTTTACAGGTGATGAAATGTGCTCTTGTGGGTGTCATTCTGATGGCTGAGCACAATAACTTTGCTCGTTATAATAAATAACAGTGTGTACCTGAGTTACAATAACTGCAGGTACACACCAACACTAAAAAACAAACCTAAAACACATTATTTCCCATTTCTGTTGTCCAGGTTTTAGCTCTTTGTTCTATTGAAGGCCCATTTTGGATATGTACAAGCAGAGAGAAACCGCTTGAGCCCTGTGTTGTAATGTCCAAATAACTCAAGAGTTTGTGCTATAAAGGATGGTGTGAATGGAAAAAGCAGCTATTGGTGTGTGTGGGAGTGGCCATACCATGGCCATCAGAATGACACCACCAGATTTGTGACAAAACAGCCGCTGTTAATCCATTCAGTCCAATACATTCCTCAAACCAAACTTCAGAAACTTTATACCAGAAGCCCCCGAGGCTCCCAAATAAAAATTATAGTCCTTGGTGAATTAATATTGCAAATTTAGTTCATATCTGGACCTAAAGTGGGCTGTAGAGACATTTTCAATTACTACTGGCTTCAATGCAGAACGAAAAACATATACAGGAAACATTCAAGTAGTAATTTAAGAAAAGACAAGCTTTTCTGATCTTGTGAATCTTCACTTTAAACTATACCCCTGACCTAATATTGAAGGATTTACCTCATGGGAACCAGATTTTTGGGTCCTATAAAGTGACCATACAAATTTGACAGACCCAGCACTCTCAGAACCTGTTTGGGACCCACCTGTAGATGGCTTTGTGGCCCAGGTCGGCCCAGAAGATGGTGTTGTGGCTGAAGGCAGCATCTAGAGCCACGGTGTTCCTCTGCTGCTCCACGATCTGAGTGTACTCGCGCCGCTCCAGCCCCAGGCGTCGGATGTCCCTGCGGTTTGTGAAGATTAGACTGGGCTCCTTCCCTGGACACAGAGGTCAAGAAGTCAATCTGTGAGGCAGGGTTGTCAAAAGTATCAAAAATCATCTACTAATCAACTAATCCATAATTGACAAAAATTAGTTTTGAAGCTAGATACTCATTTGAGCAGATATCGCTAAACACATTCACAGGACAGAAATAAACCTTTCCTGAATAGCTTCAAAATGATCTATGGCCATAGACCACTATGGAACCTACCAGGACCACTTACAGATATAAGGCCACATGGGAATATAAAAGAAAGTACTACAATTTAATGCTGAAAATCACATTCTATTGTCTAAAAGTTTCTTTTTCCATTATCATTGTGGTATCAGAATAGCTACTGAGTATTGGGGCCATTCCTTATCAAAACTGAGTTTGAAATGTTTGTATTCTGACAACACTACTGTGGAGACCACGTCTGTGATACATGTATATTTGCTACTTTTCTAAGCGTGAGTCAGTCTGTCTTTTTATGACTCTTTGATTTTCAAACAGTTTCTGATCAGCTGGTTTGTGAAGCTCTGCTGTGCCGTTGCTGTGGAGATAATTTGATTGATTGACATTCAGGAGCAGGACCACGCCTCAACCTCCCCCTACTCCTCTCCAGCCAACCACAGCTCGGCTCAACCACAGCTTCAATAACCCAAAAGCCCTATTTATACAGGCCTATCCCAACAACACAGTTTGTCTCTCTAGTCGTCTCTCTCATCCTCAGCCTGAAGACATTATTTACAAGGGGGCCAGCCATCACATCTATCCATCATCAATAAACATCTATATCGTACTTCAATGTTGTGGCGTGGTACTTGCAAGTGAATGGACTCTAAAAACTTGGAAGTGCATTGAATGACATGTGAGCGTGTCACTCACCCACAGCCTTGCACACTCCGGTGGTGGGATCCATCTGGTATCCATTGTGGCACTCACACTTATAGCCTCCCTTCAGGTTGATGCAGATCTGACTGCAGATGCCTGGATTCAGACACTCGTTGATATCTGCAAAAAAAACAGAAGAGAAAGGCATCTCCTGTCTGACATTTGGTTGAGGCACAGAATGGTAAGCAGTGTACACCTTTTAGCCAAAGTTTGCTCTTCTAAAACAATGACTAAATATCCAAACACATATCTAATACTTTACTGGCTGTTACCTTGTACAGTTGAATGCCTCTCCTAGTCAGATTGTGTGGTTAAATACAGAAGGTATCCAACTATCAGCTTTCAGATATAAATCAAGATTCAATTCACAATACCTCAATCGTAGTTCATGGGTTTACATGCATTTAGAAAAATTGGTTTAAAAATTGGGCTTGACCAGTTATCTGGTTTTCCTAGTGTGCATGTGAATGTAGTGACTGGCTTTGGTCCTTATTATTTCTTATTTTTTTATTTATTTGTAAAGGGACAGCACATATTAATGAACATTAAAAATGTAAATATGTAAAGATTATAGCCTTGCGCTTGTGGCAGGTGCTATGCATATGGCAGGTGCAGTGGTGAGGTGTGTTGTCCTTACCTCCGCAGGTCTTGTGGTCGATGAGCTGTAGGCCTGGAGTACAGTCACACTGGAAGCCAATGACGAGGTCTCTGCACAGGTGAGAGCAGCCGCCATTGTTCAGCAGACACTCATTCAGATCTGCACACAACATATGACAACACTTTTAGGTTTGGGCAAAATTTGGGCCAATGGATTGATTCATTTTTGGGTTGCCTGACCAACCAGTCCCTTCTACATTCTGTTTGAATCCTGAAGGATCTGGAACTGCACCACAGAGAGTGAAAATCCTCCATCCAATCTTGGGACAGTCCAACCACAGCTGCTAATTTGTAGCACGTCTTAAGTGGAAGACATCTCCTCTCCAAAATTCTCATCTCAAGTAAAAAAAAGTGATATATTTTGTTCTGAATGACAGAAGTAAAAGTTGGGTGCCGACTGTGGCTTCTGAGAAAATCCATGCTGTTTTGCAGTCCTTTATGTTGTTTTCCCCCTTTTTTATGTGTAAAGAAAGATATTTGTTTTTGAGGCAAACTGACCATGCGTCTCTCTGATTGGTTAATCCACCTTTCAATCACGCTCTCTGAAATCAGGGAGACAGGACTGTCTTCAAATTTTGTCAAGGCATGTAGTTCTGTTTGGTCAGGTAAGGTAAAGGGCTAGGGCAGCAAACAGAGTCATTCTAAATGTTAGTGCAGAGGAACAGTGAGTGGTACAGTTTGTTTTTCAAAGAGAACACTGGAAAGTCACATGTGTGCTTTTCAATTCATACAGAAGTGTTTGAGTTTATTTGTTGCATTTAATAACTGGAATGATTTGGAAATGTCTCATGCCTGCTACAGGCATTTCTAACAGCTTTAGTGTTCATATTGTGTGTAAGTTTCATGTATTTTAAACACCACTGTAAACCATTACATTGATCATGTTAAGGTTCAGGTTTAGGTTTAAGTAGATGTATAAAATTATATCATTATGTACTAAAGCAGTTCTTGTTATGAATAAATGCATTTTTTTCCACCACCCACACCTAACAGAATAGTATGTAATACTAGTGGTTTAGTGTGTATTTATGGGGATAAAAACCAGGTCCCTATGATGTAAATTATTAGATGATCAACATGGTTTAGTTAAAAAAGGTTAAGGTTGGACAAGTAGCGACTATGGTTGAGGTTAGGATCAGTCCCCATGAAATGAATGGAAGACAACAAAGTTAAGTCCCCACAGAGCCTGAAAATGCCATGTGTGTGTGCGTGTTAGCGAGCGTAACACGTACTGCACTCCTTGATGGGCTCGTCACTCCAGTCGGGACAGTCCCGCACCTTGTTGCACACCTTGCTCATGTCGATGCACTCCCCGCTGCGGCACCGGAACCTGTCTGGGCCCGCACACTGAGAGGCTGAGGGAGAAACACCACTATTATAACTCACTGTTCATAAGGAAGAGGAGGAGGGGCTTTAGCAGGAGGAGGTACACAGCGGCGCTCACCGTTGCGGCAGTTGAGTTCATCTGAGCCATCAGGACAGTCCCTGAGGCCGTTACACTGGCGGCCGCCTCCCACACAGCTCCCATCATCACACTTAAACTGCTCTGGAGTGCACGAGCGCACAGCTGAGGGCCACAGCACAGCATTCAGGAAAGACAATGAGAATTATATTTCATTTGTGTTCTGTTGTGGAAAATAGTTATATTTTGATGGATAAATCCACTAGCAAAGCCTTGGTAAGCTGTGAAATATAAAAAAGGTTTATTCTTCGTTACAACAAATGGGACAGGGCCAAGGCCTGACCCAGAGACAGACAGCCTTCTGGCATCCCAAGCAAGTCTCCACTCTGTCTGGTTTTCTCCTAGAGCACCTGAGCTCTGAGTATATGATCTGTTTGTAGCTTTGGAATTCTGGTACAAAGAGTAACTTCTAGTATATTTCTGGTTCAAAGCAGGGTGGCTGTTGTTTCAGAGCCATGAGTTATTGCACGTGGCACTTGAAGACAGAAAAAAACGTGTTTCCTGGAGGATGGAGACAGTTGTGTCTGTTAAGCTTTATATACAAGATTGCTGAATGGTCTGGATCTTGGATAGAACTCACATTCATTTACATAAAGACCACATATGACATTCTTCACAACATAAAATACTCATACCTTTCCATGACAGCTCTAAAAGCTTTCCACAGATGCTAAAGTTATTTGGACAAATTGAGTTGTGGGTCTTAATGTCATATGACTTTTTTTTTTTTTTTTTTGCAGTCAAAAACATTTCTGCTCCAGTCTTCTTATTGACAATGGCAGTTTGTTTAGTATCTCCCCAAAAACTACACTTTAAAACCCTAACCTTAATTAGACAACTTCCAGTCATTTATAAACAGAATATGTTTTATGCAGGAAAATGACTGATATTTTGGTCTTGCATAGAGAAAGTGGAGCAAAATTAGAGTGTAGCTTACGGCAGTTGGCTTCATCGCTGCCATCCTTACAGTCTGGGTCTCCGTCACACCTCCACTTGCGGTGGATGCACTCCCCAGAGCCACACTGCATCTCACTGGCCGAGCAGCGTGAGGGTGGGGTGGGGTGCCGGCCACAGAGAGAGGGGGACTCGTCCGACTGGTCCTGAGGAGGAATAAACTACATCACATTCTGTGGTCCTGGTCCCCCACAACTGCCTCAGGAACTCTCTTTGGAAGAGATGGAAGACTTTCCATGAGCTGTGATGAAACACACTAGCTCACCAATAGTGCCAGTTTAGTTGCCTGGCTGAGAATGGATAATGTTCATTTTTCATTTAGTTACATAATAATTCTGCACATTAATAGTTGCCCAATAAATGTGCACATGTAGATTTTCTCCTCAGAAAGAAAAAACTTCACTTTTTTTCTTAAATATTCAGGTTTGAGGTTTATTAACATTTTGGATTGACCGAGAACACTGTAGTTGTTCAATTACAAAATGAATCCTCATAAATACAACTTGCCTAATAATTATGCACACAGTGTAATGTCTCCTCTCAGAGCAAAGCTGCCTTCTGTCTCATGTCTGCAAACACTGATGTGTACTGAACTGTGGGTACAGTTTATTCATTCATTTTTACCTCCGCCAAGGAGGTTATATTTTTACCGGCGTTTGTCTGTTTGTTTGTTTGTTTGTTTGTTTGTTTGTCTGTTAGCAACATAACTCAAAAAGTTATGGACCGATTTTGATGAAATTTTCAGGATTGGTTGGAAATGTGAAAAGGAAGAACTGATTTCATTTTGGGGGTGATCCGGAAGAAATCCTGGATTCTGGATCACTTTGAAATTTTAGTTAACATTGTGGTAAATGGGGCCAAAAATTTAGTTTCTCAATATCTCGGTTAATTATTGACCAAACCCCATGAAATTTGACTCAGGGATGGACAATGGGATCCTCTTTCATATTCCAAAGGCTGATCCAGATCTGATCCAGAAGACAGATTTTATCACAATTTATATAAAAAATGGGGGTAGCCCTTGGCGGAGGTCTGCGCTCTCTGACTGCTTTTCTAGTTATGTTATGTCTTTTTACAGATCACAAACTTAAACGTGATAAGTCACATCGGTATCATTTTTGTTCTAACACATGCTTTCTAAATGAGAGCCCCAGACATGTGGCTTAAAGAGTCAAGGTGTTCCACACACATGCCTGTGTGGAGCTGTGTCTGTGTGTCTCGAAGAAAAGTCATGTGACTGACACATCTGTGCCACTTGGTGTGACTATGCTTAAGGTCAATCTCCAGGAAATGAATGCAAGTCAACAACAATAATGTCCCCACAGTCAAGAGCTGAAGCTGCCAGAGGATCAAGTCTGTCTCGGTTTCACTACTGGAACCACTAAGAAAATGAAAAACAGAAATATTGTATTGTCTGTGCACATGCTAAAATACATAGTGCGTGCAGACTGCAGTAGGCCAAGTGCTTCATGTGACAGAGCAAAGTAATCCCAAACACCTCCAGTCCTCACTTCAGCCTGTTTAGTGTATAATAGGCTCTTTCATTCACATGGGTTTGCACTGGGCTCTTGTTCAGTTCTGTTGTTTAGTATTCAGTCAGTACATGTGAGAGAGATACTTCAGTAGTGGTTCAGCACATTAAGGTTAGTCAGACTTGAATAACCCCGTGTTGTCCAGTTGTAGCTAGGGATGTCACCGTATCCTGTTTTTGAGTTTGTATTGTGAGGAAAAATACATTTTAAAAATGTATAATTAAATATATATTTTATGATTAAAAAGACAGGGGTAGAGTTAGTCAGCGTTTCCTCTGATTACATACAACTATTTAACACTTCACTATAATTTGACACATTCACACACACAGACACACAAATTGATGTTATGTACTATATTATGTATTCAAATAATAGTGTAAAATGAGCCCTTTAAGAAACGGGGCAAAATAAGGAATTCTATAGCTTCTGAAATTCATTTCATCTCCATTTGCTAAAGTGGTTCAAAGTTCAAAGCTAGTATTAGAGAGAGACAAAGACACTTGATGACTTCAAAACCACAACTGTTTTCATGAAGTTGTGACAGAAGAGGTGTCCCACAGTGTGTTTAACACGACACACAAGCTCATTCCTAGTATACTGACAATATGAAATGTATGGCTGGGTTCCACACACACACTTCAGCGATGTACCATAAGTTAAGTTAAGATAATCCTTTATTGTCTCCCATGGGAGAAATTTGTCTTGGGACAGGGGGTAACATGCTTTATCAAAAAACAGGACAACACAACACAAAGCAGCACATAAACAAACACCATAAAACAAAGTAAATATGAGACCAAGTCTGACCACGAGTGATGCACCAACAGGACCTTTAAATTATTCTTAACAGGCAAGCCCTTGCATTCTTGTATTCTATTAATTATTGCAAATTCCCTAAGCCTATGTGCAGTTTTGATTTAAAACTCCCACGATGAGCTAACCATGGCCAAAACTATTTGTGGTAACTGTAAAATTGGTATTGTATCACCTGACAGTCCACGTCGTCATCGCAGACCCAGTTGGAGGGGATGCATGAGGAGTTTCCACATTGGAATTCAGAGGGTCCACAGGAGGCAGGGGCACACTCCACCTCATCAGAGCCGTCTCCACAATCGTCCTCTCCATTACACACAAAGTTCTGAGACACACAGCGACCGCTCACACATGTGAACTCATTCAGAGCGCACGTCACATTTCCTGGAGCCCAGAAAGAGACAAGACTGTTAGTGACTAAAGCAGTCCAACTTAAAGATATCTGATAGTAGAATATTATACCACAGTTGAGCTCGTCCTCCCCATTGTCACAGTCCTTCTCCTGGTCACATTTCCAGTACAGAGGGATGCACTGAGTGGAGCCCACTGAGCAGCTGAACTCATTGAGCCGACACGTCCTCATGTCTGCACACACGAAACACACACACACACAGCGCGCACACATGAAACACACACATGAAACACAGAGACCCCATGCGAATGCTGGGCCCCCATCAGAAACTTACATGTTTAACAGCAAATAAATTAAAGCCCATTTTGAAATCCACAAGCTCAGCATTGTCTCTGCACAAACGTAAGACACACATCGTATTGTCAAATGCACTAACAAAGATGTAAGTCGAGCAGCAGCTGTAGTTTGATCCATAAACCCTGTGACTGGTGAAGATTAGGTGCTCTCTAACGGTTAAGGGTGGGAAAAGTTTGCCTTTAATAACAGTAAATATAAAAAGATGAGGAAAGGCTAACTTGTCTCATGTTCTGTTGGCAGTTTGACTACTGATTGTCTAGCATTAAAAACCTGTGTGTGGAGGAGAGTCACTGGTCTTAGTGGTGCCTGCAGAGGTAGAACGCTGCAGAACCCTCTACATTAGATATTTGTTCTATGCATTTGACCCATCCTTCAAAAGGCAAAACGGTAACCCATAAAGAGGGTTAGCAATCGCATACAGCTTGACCTAGGCTTAGTCAGAACTCCCTTAACTGGAGGATTACAGTGTTGTTCACGTTTTAGGTTGAGAAAAGCTCCAACGCAGGAGCCACTTACGGCAGATGTCCATGGCCTCGTCTGATCCATCCTCACAGTCCGGTTCTCCGTCGCACTGCCAGCGCAAGGGCACACAGCCTCCACTCTGACACACAAAATCTGAGCCTGCACAGGTCTTATGGACTACACACGTACACGCGCACGCGCACACGCACACACGCACACGCACACGCACACACACACACGCGCACACACACACACACACACACACACACACGTTAGGATCCGGAGGACAGCACAGGGCACAAGAATGTACACAATCACTGCTACAGACAGAGATAGGCCTGTCACATTAACCAATTTTGAAGCATGATATCTCACTACAGAGAAATATAATGATAAATGATAAGATTTAAATAATTAATTCATCTGACATAATGACAATAAAGCAAGATTATCCCAGTAAACCATTAGCATCATTAAAAGACCTGAGCTCCAACAAATAACAGAATGAACCAATGATTAACCACAGAAGTCACTTATTCAACCCTGTACAACTCAAATCTTTGCATTAGCGATTCAGTTTTGGTGGTAATACAAAAAGAAAATATACAGAAGATAAATATTGAGGCCAAAAATATATTGTTCCAGCTTTCATGTATTGATCGATAAAATAGTATTTATCGTGACATAGAAATATAATACCGATGGCCACTGTGAAGTATTTTAAGTGCCACTGCATCCTGCTCCTTTGTTCCTTGCACTTCCACTTAATGTGTTCATCCCCAATCGAAGGTGCCACCACAATAAGTTTACAAGTCAGATCTGTGGACAGTGTTGGGGAGTAATTGATTACATGTACCTGCATTATGTAATCAGAGTACAAATTATGAGTAACTGTATTCAGTTACAGTTACTGTTTCAATGAGTGGTAATTGGATTACAGTTACTTTGTTGAAATAAATGGATTACATGGTGGTATTTTCCTGTTTTCACATTTTGAGCTATATCGTATTTTTAAAAATTATTTTATTTCGGTAATTCCACTCATTGCCGGAAACCGAAACAGAACAAGAGCCAAGTGAACGTCTTGTTAACGCTGGTGGTGTCAGTCACACAGTAGACGAGGTTGTTAATTCTGATTCTGCATCATTTTGAGTAAAAAACATCCAATATTACAGATTTTTACTGGGCTGGCACCTTTATGTTTGTACTGAAAGTTCTTATTATTTTTTTTAATAAACAATATGGGTGGACATTTCTCTATCAATAATATTTTTAATCTGCTTAAGGAAAGACAGGGCTTTTTCTTGTCTTTTAGCAGACAAAAGATCTTAAGATCTTATCTTAGATGTTAAGATTTCCTCATCTTTTCTTCTCTACAGTAAACAAAAGTCTGTTCGTTGAGACTTGGGCTCAACAGACAATTTGGAGAGGACAGACAAGAATTTACAGGATGTGGTTGGTACTTTCATGTAGTTTTAAAAAAACATGACAATATCAAGTAATCCAAAGTATTCAGATTACGTTACTCACTTTAAGTAATTTAATGGATTACGTTACAAACTACATTTTGGGATATGTAATCTGTAATCTGTAGGGGATTACATTTTAAAAGTCACCTTCCCAACACTGTCTGTGGAAGGGACTGTGGACACATTTAGTAACAATTTTTTAAAAGTCTTAACTGAAATTCTGTTAGTCTTGTTGAGAATGTCTTGCCATCATCTCATCTGCAGTTGATTCAGTGCAGTGTGGGGCAGTTTGTTCACTTTCTGTCTGAACAAAGACCAAGTCTCTGCACACACTGGACAGTACCGGACTAAAAATACACCAGTCACACAACGTGCGCACAGCCAATGACCACATGACCAACTAAACACTTGCCACCTGCTTGTCTCCATGGAGAGGTTATTGTTTTGCCTGAAATATTCCACAACATGGCATTAAACTCAGATTTAATCTTCTGTAATTTTAGTAAATGGAACTGATGTTTTTACCTGGAGTTGTACTTTATTTTATTCTTAGATGTTTAACACAAACCCTGCATATTTAGAGTTCTTCTCTCAAACTGAAATCGCTGTTCCACCTTATGTCGTCACGTAATAATACAGGAAGTGCTCCACTGTGTTTTTAAACTCCATATACCTTCACTAGAATCGTTTGAATTATTTCAGTCCTGGAATTGTCAAACTCTACTGAACTAAAGGTAAAAGGAGCTGTTAACTCCTGCTTCATGGCATCACAAGATGGAACAGAGCATTTTGACCTTTGGAGATGAAGATAAGGGTTACTCAAACATCTCAATGAAAGCTAAAACCTGATGTGTTTTCCATAATAAATACTATCTGAATAGTGTGCCGAGTTAGGAAGGAGTTACTAAAAGGTGACTGCATGCTTCCTTTCATCGCTCCTTTAGCATAGGAACCTCAGGAGCTTCCTAACCAACCATGACGAGTTATGAGACATCCCACAATCCAGTGCGCACAGCTGATCTCTGCTAGTTAGGCTTTAAAATAATTGGTTTAGATTTGTGGAATGATTAATGACATAATTTTCATTAAAAGGTTTAAAAATGCTTCAAATTAGAAAGTTTAAATTCTGAATATTTTTTAATTGTTTGACAGCACTTTAAAAAAAAAATTAATTCACTCATGTGCATGTCAGGTTCTATGTTATGTCAAAATAATAACTTATCATAATACTTTTTCATATAATATGAAAATCTAAAGTGTTAAAAATATATATAACCACTGAAGGACTAAAAGCAGATCATGAACATGAAGAGTGATCTGAAAAGAGTGGTGTTAGAATGAGGAAGCCTGTGTTTAAATGTGCTGTGGCACACCCTCCATAAAACATCATCATCATTATGAAAACATAACTTCCAGTAGAGAAAAAAAATGCTCATTGTGGTGCTCATTTTGGAACTTTTCTACTTCAGATGTTTTGTTCAGGGCACTTAACTGACACTTAACTCATTTCATTCAAACTGGATTGTTTTTCAAGGCACATGTGACAATTTCTCAAGGTACACTGGTGTTCCCTAGAGCACCCACCAGAGCACCACACATAACACACACAGTGGCATTATAAAACGACAATGAATCATTAACAATCTCAGATTTTCAGCAACAACACACTATGAGTGTGAAGGCTGGTATATAATATTTACAAATCAGTCTCCACATTTCAACTTTTATTTGGTTAAAATGTGTTTAAAAGTAAAACTTGTTGCCTGTTACAATAATTACCATTTCAACTTTTTAATATATGAAAGCTGGAACTCTGTAATTTTGGGCTCAGTATTTATCATTTGGACAGCTTCTTTGTAATAATTTCCGCTGAAGAGTTACTTAACCGAACCTGTCTGAGACTGGGGAGAGAACTAACGTGGATGGACACAGGCATATTTAAGTTTTATTTCTGTACAGAGTTATAAACTAACCTCGAACCATTCCAACTGTTTAGTTTTGATTTTGTTTATGCAGAAATTCCACAACAGCTCGTACTGACCACAGGCTTTTTTTTGTCTTTTTGGACCTTGTTTTCTAACTTGTGCATTGTGTCTCCATGGAAACTGCTGAACATTCCACCATAGAGATACATGTAGAACGTGATGTGACATACCGCAGGCTCCCTCGTCGCTGCCGTCGGTACAGTCCTCGTCCCCGTCACACTGCCACACAGAGGGGATGCAGCGTCCGTTCCCACACTGGAACTGGTTGGGCTCACACTCCGTCTTTGTACCTGAACACATTTACCCATCAGTGCTTTGAGTCGTGCAGTCTGAGCCCACAAATGCTTCATCAATCACATTGTTTTACTGGGATTATAAAGGTGTAAAGTGCCCATATTACACAATTTCCTCATCACAAACATACCTGGAGTTGTGTTTTGTTTAATTCAAACATGTTTAACTCACAAATCCTGCTGATTAAGGCTTGTTTCACCTTGTGATGTCATGTTAATACACGTGCTCCACTGAGTTTTTTAACTCCATACACCTTCACAAGAATCATTTGGATTATTTCAGAATTGTTGTGTTTTTTTTTTCTCCAAAGCATTTACATTTTTGGTGACTGTCTACATTTTCATGAATTGCCAAACTATTGATAAAGTGTTACTCAAACATGTGTGAATGAAACAAAAAACACAACTCCAGGTATGTTTTGATGAGATAACAACATTATAACATGACTTAAAGATCACTATATTGTGTGTAATATAGGACCTTAAATGTAGAGAAGGTATTGAGTGAACTAGCTGCCAGGTTTTTTGACTGAATAGTGAGTTTAAAGACGGGGTATCACGAAAAATCCTTTCTGCATTGTTCTAATATTGTTCCCTTGTTCCCTCATCAAAAAAAATGCCTAAAGAGGTTTTAGATGTTTGAGTGTTTGAGCAATCTCTCCTGGGCCCTTTTTCGAACAGTCCTTATGGTTATCAGTACAAGCTTGTACAAGGCTCCACCCCCAAGCCCACAAAACATGATACAAAACTACACAACAACTTAACAAACCTGATACAATGTGCAGTACTTTTATTAGCAGGATGCACGTGGATTGCAAAGGGAGGTGAACAGCTCCTTTTAACTTTAGTTCAGTAGAGACTGGCAATTCCAAATTAGTGTTACCACATGACATCACAAGGTTGAAGAGTTTTCTGTTTGAGAAAAAAAAAACTATACCTAAATACGCAGACAACATGTGTGAATAAAACACAACTCTCCACAAATGTTTTTTGATGAGGAAACATTATAACAGATCAGAAAGTAACACAATATGGGGCCTTTCAGTAATGTGTTTAATTAAAGTTAGTTAAATACTCCCATTTGAATGTCATTTTTTACATACAATACATATTATAGTATATTACCTTAATCTGCCATTTTTCAGCTCACTCAATTCTCTTTTCTGCTGTGGTCTGCTTATTGAAATTTGTTAATTAATATACATTTTGCTTGACTATGACACCACTGACCGATGAATCAATAGGCAGATCACTCGCAGCGAGCCAATAGCAGGCAGATAGTACGGGGTTTTCCCCTGACAAACAATTAGATCAAGATGAAGATCTAAAAACAGCAAGTGGCACATTTATAGAACTGACCCAGATTTTGTGACAAAGGCTCAGAACTGTACAAGGCCTGTGCTCAGCAGGACACGTGCCTGACCAGTCGCAGGACGGGGACGCGTGCCTGACCAGTCGCAGGACGGGGACGCGTGCCTGACCAGTCAAAGGACAGGGACGCGTGCCTGACCAATCGCAGGAGAGGGACGTGTGCCTGACCAATCGCAGGACAGGGACTCGTGCCTGACCAATCACAGGACAGGGACGTGTGACTGACCAATCGCAGGAGAGGGACGTGTGACTGACCAATCGCAGGACGGGGACCTGACCAATCAGAGGACAAGAACACGTGTCTGACCAGTCAAAGGACAGGGACGCGTGCCTCACCAATCGCAGGACAGGGACCTGACCAATCAGAGGACAAGGACACGTGTCTGACCAGTCGCAGGACAGGGACTCGTGCCTGACCAATCGTAAGACAGGGACCTGACCAATCAGAGGACAAGGACACGTGTCTGACCAGTCGCAGGACAGGGACGCGTGCCTGACCAATCGCAGGACAGGGACGCGTGCCTGACCAATCGTAAGACAGGGACCTGACCAATCAGAGGACAAGGACACGTGTCTGACCAGTCGCAGGACAGGGACGCGTGCCTGACCAGTCGCAGGACAGGGACGCGTGCCTGACCAGTCGCAGGACAGGGACGCGTGCCTGACCAGTCGCAGGACAGGGACACGTGTCTGACCAGTCGCAGGACAGGGACGCGTGCCTGACCAATCGCAGGACGGGGACCTGACCAATCAGAGGACAAGAACACGTGTCTGACCAGTCAAAGGACAGGGACGCGTGCCTCACCAATCGCAAGACAGGGACTCGTGCCTGACCAATTAGAGGACAAGGACATTTGTCTGACCAGTCAAAGGACAGAGAAGAGTGTCTGACCAATCAGAGGACACCAACGCATGTGCGACCAATCAGAGAACAGGGACCTGACCAATCAGAGAACAAGGACATGTGTCTGACCAGAAGACAGATGACAGCAACCAGTTGCAGGTGACAGAAGAGGACACAGGTCTAATTGTAAATGTACCTTTAGTTCTATTTGATTTGTGAGTACTGAGCCAATTCTGTCCATGGGGACTGTAACCACTATGTAGTGTAACTGAAGTAACTGAATAAACCAAAAATATGTTTTCTGAATATTCATTTTGAGTAACTAGTCAGTACAGTTGTTCTTTCATTTAGCAGTATTCAGAATACAGTTACTTTTCTCAAACCAGAGGCATTTATCACACAGTTTAGGCTTCAAGTTCCAGTTTTCCTGTGGTGAGTGCACTTCTCCAATTAGTCATAGGAAATGCTCAACCAACTGTGTAACAAACTGAAAGCAGTGTATAATCCTATCAGGTTTTGACACCATTATTTAAATATAACTCAATGTAAGAGTATTCCAAGTATTCAGAATACAGTACTCTGATTGGACCATCTAATAGAATACATTACAAAATACATTTTAATGCAGGTATTCAGCACTCTTAAACTAAATAAATAAATGTTCTTCCTGCCACTGTCAGTATGACTGTAATACTTGTGCTCTTGTGTCCTTTAAAGGGTGCCCTCTGTTGTGGTTCTACAGGTTTAAACTGCCGCCTCATTAAAAGCGTCCTACACGTCTGGACGCAAACCAGGCTGGAACAGGACATTTGTGGGTCACTGTGTTTACAGAGGAGCTAGAAAAGCCACATGTCTCAGGAGCGCGTGTGGCCCCGGGTGCATTTAATTGGCCACGGGGCTAGATCCAGAGTACAAACACACAGGCCCTTCCACCGAGGGGCCGAGGGGCCGAGGGGCCGCCGCACCACCACACAACAGCCCAACAGGGAAACACAGACGTGCGGTGGTGGAACGGCGCGGGGGCGTGTGGATGGAGCGGTCACATCCTGAACACGGCCGTGGAACAGCAGGTCCACGGCACGCGGCTAGCGGCGGCTCATTAGCTCAAGGTGCAGCGCGGACAAGGAGCGCCGAGGACAGGTGCACGGCGCGGTTAGCTCCAAACTGAGCGACGCGGCTCATCGGGGCCACTCACCGTCAACGTATAAGCCGTGGAGGAGGCACACGAGCGGGGACAGCAGCACAAACCGTGCCAGGGACGTAGCCACCATCTCTGCGTGCGCTGCGGCGGTGGTTGCTAGCTGAAGCCTGGGTGCCCTTTCGGCTTCCTTCTGGTCCTCCTCCGAGGTGCTGTTGGCTGGCTCCCACGGGCCTGCCTAATATTCCATTGAGCCCGGTCACGCGCATGCAGGAGGCACGCGCGCGCAGGAAAAGGGCACGGGTCGGCACGGGTCGGCACAGGGGGTCCTCAGTGGGAGGAGAGCGATCTGTTTCCCGGAGCAAATGAATGGCGTGCGCCAGGCGACTCTGGAGCAGAAGGAGCGGGGCTTTCCTCCGCCGCTGCGCCGTGTGCGTGCGCTCTGTTAACCCTTCACTGTCTGCATTTACACAAAGCGCAGTCTGACCGCGGATCTGAACAAGGCTCTGCGCTCTGGCGATGGAGTGCGCATTTTACGCATCAAATCTCCGCAAATAATCAGTAGATTAGATTTTGAACGTTTTCATTGAAGAGCTTTACAGAAATTATATATATGTTTTATATATATATATTGTGTATGTGTAGAATTCTTATTGCCACCAATTGTTTATGCTATTCATTAGCAGCAACACAGTAGATCAGGAGTAGATCATCTGAGCTTCGGCCTTACATCTGATTTCCACTAGAGGGCGCTGTTACCATGTTGTCGTTCTGTTTCCATGCACAGTATAAACTCATCCATTGCAAAAAATTTGAATATGATGAAAAAGTTCAATATTTTTGTCTCTCATTTCAGGAAGTCAAACCCATATATTATATAGACTTATGACACAGTGAAATATTTCTAGAGTTTATTACTTGAATTTTTATGATTATGGCTTATTAAGATCAATTGAAAAAATATTTTAAACCAAAATGTCAGACTTCTGTATGTTCTTATGTGAATATACATGCATGTTCATTTGTACACACTCAGTACTTGGCTGGCCCTCCTGTGGCATGAACATGAACATGACTGCACCAGTGTGCTGTGGCATGGAGGACATCACCCTGTGGTGCTGCTCAGGTGGAATGGAAGTGCAGGTTGCTTTGACAGAGGCCTTCAGATCATCTGCATCATTGGCTCTGGTGTCTTTCATTTTCCTCTTGACACTTGGTGGGTTTCAGATTCTAGAATGTGATGATATCATACTCACAAATTTGCCGTGAAATATCAGAAAGATAAATTCCCAAATATGGAACCTCATTTCTGTTACTGACTAGACCCAAGACCTGCTATATGACAAGAGAAATCTGCAGTTGAACAATACTGATTTTAGCTGCCCCCCATCTGTATTAAATAATATTAGCCTACAGAGTACAGTCCCTGACAAAAGTCTTTTCGCTTATCCATTTTGTATAAACAAAAGCTTATAACCTGATTTTAAATTAATCGATTTGGTTTTAGAAATGTCTCATATGAAAAGCTAAAACCCTCCCAAATTATGCTCAATATACTAAAATAAATTTGCTTCACTGAAGAAAGATTGATCATTTAATGAACACAGAAAGGTCAGATTTTGGCAAGACAAAAGTTTTGTCGCCTACAGAAAATTGAACAAATAATTTACTTCAAATACACAAAAATATGTTGCATAACGTCAGTGAATTAAGTAGTGTGGTGCTGTGAGATCCAGATTTAATATCTTGTACGACTTCCATGAGCTTGAAGGACACATCCATGTGGTTCAACAATGATTCATACAATTTGTTGATGAAGTCATCAGGAATAGTAAAGAAAGCGTCTTACATGCCTCCCAGAGTTCATCAAGATTCTTTGGTTTTGCCTTCCATGCTTCCTCTTTCATTCTACCCCAGACATGCTCAATGATCATGTCTGGTGACTGGGCTCCAGTCCTGGACCACCTTGATCTTCTTCGCCTTCAGAAACTTTGATGTCGAGATAGAATTATGCAATGGAGCACCATCCTGCTGCAAAATTTGACCCCTTTTATGGTTGGGAATGTAAGAGGAGCTGATACTTCTTGATATTTTAGGCTATTGATATTTGCCTTCCACCCTGCAAATGTCTCGCACACCCCCAGACTGGATGTAACCCCAGACCAGGATTTTTCCGCCACCAAACTTAACTGTTTTCTGGGTGAATCTTGGATCCATGCGGCTCCAGTAGGTCTCCTGCAATATTTGCAGCGGCTGTGATGTAATTTAACTGAAGATTCATCTGAGAAATCCACCTTCTGCCACTTTTCCAGTGTCCATCCTTTTAGCAGGCTGTGGGCCTTGGCAAATGCCACACGTTTTTTTAATTGCCTTTTTGTTTAGTGCTGGTTTCTGTGCACTGATTCGACCATGGAGGCCATTTCGAGACAGAATTCTACAAACTGTTGTGGTTGACACAGGGACTTGAGGTGACCAGGCCTGGTGGAGTCTGCTGCAGTGGAAAAGGGGCCTTGGATTTTCGAATCAACAAACGGTCCTCCCGAGCAGTTGTCTTGCGGGGTCTGCTGGACCTGGGCTTGTCAAAAACATCTCCAGTCATTTCAGATCTTTTTCTTATTCTTTGTACTTGACGCTGAGACACATTGAAGGTGTCACCACCTCAGCAGTGGATCTGGTCTTCAGCCTCTTGATAATTAACGCTTTGGTCTCAGGGTGGATCTTAGGCATGTTGTCAGAGGTCAAGTTGCAGTTGATGTGAAGGTCTGGTGTGCTGGGTTCTTTTTATACACACCCACTAATTGATCGATCAGTAACTGATCACAGGTGAGGCTGTAATCTAGGATTGGGTGCATCATATGACAAGGCCACAAGACTTTTGTCTTGCCAAAATCTGACCTTTCTGTGTTCATTAAATGATCAATCTTTCTTCAGTGAAGCAAATTTATTTTAGTATATTGAGCATAATTTGGGAGGGTTTTAGCTTTCATATGAGACATTTCGACAATCGATTAATTTAAAGTCAGGTTATAAGCTTTTGTTTCTACAAAATGGATAAGCGACAAGACTTTTGTCAGGGACTGTACTGTGATGTCATCTGAAACCTAGCAATACCCCAGAGATTCTCTAAGAGGTTTAGGTGAGGCAGGTTTGCAGGTTAATCAGGCAGAGTAACACCTTGGTCACTGAATCAGCTTTTGGTATCTTTGAGAGCACAACCGAGAGAAAGAGACACTTTATTGATCCTAAGGGAAATTCAAGTTTTGCTGCAGCAAACTGTTGCAGTTTTCCAGCAACATTTCTACTGAACGTCTCAGTGTCCTTTGTGTCTCAGTCAGAGGTCAGTCAGGTCAGTTTAACAGGAGGACTGGTCAGGGAGGGTCAGCAGATCCTGTGGAAGAGCCCAAAGTGTCCCTGTGTCCTGCAGCATCACAGCAGTGTCCAGGAGGAACAAGGTGAACACAACCGGAAAGGCCTCACTCTTACTCCGCTCTGGTGTTTCAGTCACTGATGAAATGGTTCATTCTCTCAAAGTGTTTCCTCTGGAAGATTTCCTGCCACATTTGTTGCCACATATGGTGTAAAAATCTCAAATCTCAAATGTTTGCTGCTTAACTAGCATCTTACACCCCTCGCAGATCTGCTTGGATACAGTGAACAACCAGCTTGTGGAGGGTGTCAGTGACTGTCCATCTGTCCATCTGTCCATCTGTCCATCTGTCCATCTGTCCATCTGTCCATCTGTCCATCTGTCCATCTGTCCATCTGTACAGTCAGCGGCCTTCCTCATGAGTTTGTAGCCCACTGAACCAGACTGAGACCATTTAAAGGCTCAGGAAACCGTAGCAGGTATTTTCAGTCAGTTAGTTAATTAGGGTGTGGCTGGACTTCCTAATGAATCTTTTTCACAATATTCAAATTTTCTGAGACAGAGTTTTGGGTTTTCATTATCTGAAAGCCACCATCATAAAAATTCATGAAATAAACTGCTTCACTCTATATGTCATGAATTTATATGGGTTTGACTTTCTGAACTGAGTGACAAAAATACTTGAACTTTTTCATGATATTCTATTTTTTGAGATGGAATAATATAAATAATATTACCCTAGTAGAAGTACAACAAGTCAACAACAACAACTCAAGTAAGAGTAAAAATGTATCTGGGAAAAGTATCACTCAAGTGTAAGTTAAAGAGTAACATCTGATTCACACACACACATGCACACACACACACACACACACACACAGACGCACACATGCACACACACACACGCACACACACACACACACACACACACACGCACACATGCACACACACACACACACAGATGCTCGCACGCACACACACACACAGACGCACACACACATGCACACACACAGATGCACGCACACACACACACACACACAGCACAGATGCACACACACATGCACACACACACACACGCACACACACACACACACAGATGCACACACACACAGGCACGCATGCACACATACACACACACACAAGCACACACACACGCAAGCAGACGCACACACACATTCACACACACATATGCACACACACACCCACACATCACAAGGAGCCACTTCCTCTGACGCACTCTGACCAAGAAGCAGTTGTCAGGCTGCCTCAGCAAAAAATGTGCAACTACAACAGTAAAATGTATAAAATATATTTAAATGACAATTTTATGGATTTGAGTTTTATGAATTTAATTGATTTGCTGTGCATGTCAAAAATATGTCATATAGTGTTTTTCTTAACTCTCAAAAGGGCTTCAGACAGCATTATTTATTGACACTAAGAGCCACAGTTGCCCTGGGGCAGACGGACAGAAGCAAGGCTGACAGTCTGCTCCATCTGCCCCTCCGACCACCAGTCACTCACACACCATAAAATACAAAGGTTAGGTGCGAGGAGGTTTCATCTGTGCTCTTCTGGACTCTGTTTTCCCTTGAAGGAACTGGTCTGAATCACTGGGAATGGATCCTGCTCTTCTCAACTTCTCAGTTTTTTTCAAAACTACTGGTTCTCATGTTCTTAAAGATATTGGTCCAAACTCTGTTAGATTCAAACATAACAGCAATGTACATACAAATGTATATATGCATACAGCTATACACAGCTGTATATACACAACTACAACAACAGATACACAACTATACACATCTATACACATTTATACACAGCTATTATTTATACACAGTCTGCAGAGGGTCACCAACAATACACAGGACATTATTGGCTGTTCTCTGCCTTCCTTAACCATGTTATACAACTCCTGCTGTCTGAGCAGAGCGAGGAAAATAATTAAAGACAATACACACCCTGGATTCCACCTGTTCAACTTGTTGCCTTCTGGCAGGAGCTTCAGGTCAATACCAGCTACGACCAACAGACTCAGGGACAGCTTCTTCCCCAAAACTGTCACCGTACTGAATGAAAACTGTTCATTTGTTTTATTTGTTAATTGTTGATTCTTAACTTAATTTCATTATACTATTGTATAATGACAATAAAGGCTTTCTATTCTATTCTATTCTATTCTATTCTATTCTATTCTATACACATCTATACACATTTATACACAACTATAAACATCTATACATATTTATACACATTTATACACTGCTATAACAAGAAAAGATTCCACAACAAGGGAGAAGACTCAGCTGGGTGCACTGTGTGAACAGACACAGCCTACATACACTGTACTGTATATCCAGTGTCAAAGTGTGAAATGACCAGAGTCTGAGAGTCTGGCTGGTCAAACTTGCTTTTGGAGGAGGATGGGTCCCTTTTGAGGGTAAAACTGCATTTTGCTCAGATTAAAAAAAAAAAAATGTTTAGGAAAAGTGGACGTCTGTTGTGTGTGAGCTGTTTTATAAATGTAACTTTTCAATAGAGAAATGTGCCAAGGTGATTGAACAAACTGTAATATCAATGTATCATTCCAGGTACCAGAAAGGCTTTTGTAATGGAATCTGAGAAAGAAAGGAACGAATCTGAGTGTTGAAAAAATATATTAGTCAAATATACAGTGAATGTACAAGACCACACTGTCATACTTACAGTAGGTACACATTTACAAGGCAATATAAATACAAAAGATTTATAGTAAAAAAAGTTAAAAAAAATAAAAAATAAAAAGAATACAATGCAAATACAAAAATCCTTTGTTCAGTCCAGTGAGCACAAACACAACACAAGGCACAGTAAGAGTCCACAGGGACAGACGTATGGCTCCTCTGATACCACGAATGATAGTAAAAAAAACACACACAAAAAAACCCAAAACCCCACACTTTTTCATTAGACAATAGAATGTTATTTTCAACATTAAATGGTAGTACTTTATTTCTGTTTCCATGTGTCCTTGTATGTGTGTAATCCCTCAGTGGTCCAGATAGGTTCCATAGTGGTTCCATAGTGGTTGGTGTATACAAGTCTATGTGCTCTTCTACTTGTTCTGATACAGCTCAACATCATTCTAAAGACATTCAGGAAAGGTTCATTTCTGTCCTGTGTGCTGTGTTGTGCACACTGAGGAGCAGGTGGAGCGCCCTCTGGTGGAGGTTTGTTGTCAGCTCTTGTAAGAAAACGAGTAACCTCTGAACAATTTTTTGACTGTGAACTCAGTAATGATATTTAGCCATCTGCAGTGAAAGTTCTCTGCAAAAAAACACATTACTGGAGTGTAAGATCAGAGTGACAACACAAACCTTTACTCCTGAAATCTTAAAGAGCATCATTTTCACAGATTATTATTATTTTTTCTTCCAAATCTGGGGCGAGTTCACTTTGCAAATCCAAAGTGATGCTGCTGAAATGAGTAGGAAGTGTCCTGATGAGCAAAGGAGGAGTCCGGCTGTTGTTACATTATGACATTATGACATTAAGTGTGTTATTGAGCGAGCACCATTTCCTCCACTAATCACTAATGAGTTACACACTTTCTTTCCCCAAATGCCAATTAAAGCCACAGTATATAACTTTTTCTGACAAAAACAAACAAAAAATAAAATAATGTTTTTATTGCACTGAAAAACATAGAAAACATGCATGGACTTGCTTCTCCACAAACCTGACACTTATTTGGCCTGGAGGAGGACCTCCTGTTAGTTTCCATGTTCCATGTTGTAGTACTATAGTAGCTATAGTACTACAGTATGCTAAAGTATGGGATAAAACTTATCTCCATGGAAGTGAGTATTAACTATCCATGTTCATGGAATCATGCAGGTGATGTCTCACCTCCAGAAAGTGACATACTGTAGCTTTAATCTTAAAACCACTTAGCTTCTTTACTGTTGTCTGTTAAATCTCATTTATTTCCACACATGGAAGAGGCCTGGGTCCCACGGGTCGCATTCATAAAAATGTGGTTTGAGTTGTTCACACTGGCTGCAGTTACAAACACAAAATAAAAAAAAGAAAATAAATGTAAACAGCAAAATCATTCCATTTCTGCCTGACAAAAGTCACTCTGATCACTCACACTAGATTGTGCAGTTTGCATGTCCCTTAAAGAACATACAGAACTGTTTTATGATCTGTTATAATGTTGTTTCCTCATCACAAGTAGACCTGCAGTTGTGTTTTATTTCATTCACAAGTTTAATGCACAAACCCTGAGTTCTTCTCTCAAAACGGGAAACACTTTGTGACGTCATGTGGTAATACAGGAAGTGCTCCACTGTGTTTTAACCTCCATACACCTCCATCTCTACTGAACTAAAGGTAAAGGGTAGCTGTTAACTTGAAAACTACCACTACATGACATTACAAGGCTGGAACCACACACTGTATAAAAAAGTGGAGTAAGTGAGTGTGACGTCACCCACAGTGTTCAGGGCCACTCAAATGAAGCTTGTGATGCTCACGGTTACAGGGCTGACTCTGGAGCCAGGCTCTATGTTATGAATAGGATTTTTTTATTGGACAAAATAGTGTAAAAAACACCAGGATCATGTGTTGCGGGTTAATATGAACACTTTAAGACCAAAATGACGAGGCTCACTGCAGCAGTTACAGAGAGAGGGGCCAAACTATTCCAATGTAAGTCAATGGGAGCCAGAGTCAGCAGGAGCCGTAAGCAACGCATGTGAACTTCCTATTTGGAATGCGTACTAGTGTGTTAGTTATGTCCATTTATATATACAGTCTATGGGTGGAACAGAGCATTTTGAGCTTTGAAGATGAAGACAGACTAATAAAGAGTTACACAAACATGTGTGAATGAAACAAAACACAACTTCAGATATGTTTTTGATGAGGTAACAACATTCTAACATGGCTTTAAGCTCACAAGAGTCAGTTTTGTGTACATATATATATATATATATATATATATATATATATATATATATATATATATATATATATATATATATATATATATATATGTATGTATGTATAATCAGACTACTACTAATAAACTTCTAGAAATCGGATATTAATTGGATTTTGGTGAGCTTATAACATGAAAAGATCTAACCCAGATCATATTTGGGCATAAAACGAGATCTGATTGGAGCATCAATGTGTGCGTGGCCTACACCAAAAGTTGCTAGCCTCAGGTCTGACACTTCATCAGAGGAAACCACGATCCTTCTCCTGCACCAGAGAAACAGCCTCTGGGGCAAAAGAGCAAATGTCTTCAAGTCACAACTTTGTGCAAATGTACACCTTTTGTTGCCATGGTGCCATTACTAGCACCAGGGGTCAGGGGGTCAGGAGGTGAGAGACATCAGCACACAGGGATCAGGGACTGGGTTCAGGTGCCTCAGGTTGTCACGTGGGTCAGGATGGGGTTGGTCATCACGTGGGTCAGGATGGGATCGGTCGTCAGGTGGGTCAGGCTGTTAGGGGCTATAGGGCTTCTTCAGGCAGAGTGACCCGTGCTGGGGCAGGGGGTGGTTGTGGTAGTGTTCAATGAGGATGGCCAGGCTGGGGAACGTCAGCTCAGCGTCCACGTAGATGCATCCGTTCTGAAAAATATGATGAGAAGAATATGATTCAGTCTGAGCGTTATTGTCATTGTTATTATTATGTATTTGTGCAGCACTCTGGAAACTGTTGGTTTATGAAATGCGCCATAAAAATAAAGTTGATTATGATTATGGTTATTATTATGGTTATTATTATTATTATTATTATTATTATTATTAGTTAGTAGTAGTAGTAGTAGTAGTAGTAGTAGTAGTAGTAGTAGTATCTGAGAGGAAAAAGATGCTCTGTGCCAGATTTAGCTACAAACTTTTCATCTGCAGTCTTTGGGTGGGTACAACACTGATTTTGATAACAATAACATTTCATTCACGACGTTTCATTTTCAGAAAGTCTATGAGAAAAATGGGAAATTTACTTCCATACACAAGTGTGTTTTTCAAGACAAGTTTTTTTGAACAATAGAAACACATGTAACTACTGTGCAAAATTCCATAAGACAAAGCAATAACATTCCCAAAATGTTTAGTAGTGTCTCTTTAAATGTCTGACCTCCTCAAAGAGCCTGTAGTTGCGGGCCTTGTTGATGGTGACGTCCCACACCACCAGCACCTGTAAGCAAACACAACACACCATGGGGTTACACTACTATGTCCAAAATGTGTGAGGAGCAAAAAATAAAGTCTGCATGTGTGAGGAGCATGTGTGAGGAACATGTGTGAGGAACATGTGTGAGGAGCATGTGTGAGGAACATGTGTGAGGAACATGTGTAAAGAGCAAGTGTGAGGAGAATGTGTGAAGAAGATGTGTGAGGAGCATGTGTGAAGAGCAAGTGTGAGGAACATGTGTGAGGAGCATGTGTGAGGAAGATGTGTGAGGAAAATGTGTGAAGAGCAAGTGTGAGGAACATGTGTGAGGAGCATGTGTGAGGAAGATGTGTGAGGAACATGTGTGAGGAGCATGTGTGAGGAAGATGTGTGAGGAACATGTGTGAGGAACATGTGTGAGGAGCATGTGTGAGGAGCATGTGTGAGGAACATGTGTGGGGAACATGTGTGGGGAACATGTGCGAGGAGCAAGTGTGAGGATTATGTGTGAGGAGCATGTGTGAGGAGCATGTGTGAGGAGAATGTGTGAAGAAGATGTGTGAGGAGCATGTATGAGGAAGATGTGTGTGGAGCAATTGTAAAGAGCATGTGTGAGGAGCATGTGTGAAAAAGATGTGTGAGGAACATGTGTGAGGAGCATGTGTGATGAAGATGGTGAGGGGCAAGTGGAAAGAGCATGTGTGAGGAACATGTGTGAGGAACATGTGTGAGGAGCAAGTGTGAGGAGCAAGTGTGAGGAACATGTGTGAGGACATGTGTGAGGAGCAAGTGTGAGGAGCAAGTGTGAGGAACATGTGTGAGGAACATGTGTGAGGAGCAAGTGTGAGGAGCAGTGTGAGGAACATGTGTGAGGAGCAAGTGTGAGGAACATGTGTGAGGAACATGTGTGAGGAGCATGTGTGAGGAGCATGTGTGAGGAACATGTGTGAGGAGCATGTGTGAGGAGCATGTGTGAGGAGCATGTGTGAGGAACATGTGTGAGGAGCATGTGTGAGGAGCATGTGTGAGGAGCATGTGTGAGGAGCATGTGTGAAGAGCATGTGTGAGGAGCATGTGTGAGGAGCATGTGTGAGGAACATGTGTGAGGAACATGTGTGAGGAGCATGTGTGAGGAGCATGTGTGAGGAGCATGTGTGAGAGCATGTGTGAGGATGAGGACATGTGTGAGGAACATGTGTGAGGAGCATGTGTGAGACATGTGTGAGGACATGTGTGAGGAGCATGTGTGAGGAGCATGTGTGAGGAACATGTGTGAGGAGCATGTGTGAGGAGCATGTGTGAGGAGCATGTGTGAGGAGCATGTGTGAGGAGCATGTGTGAGGGCATGTGTGAGGACATGTGTGAGCATGTGTGAGGGGCATGTGTGAGGATGTGAGCATGTGTGAGGGCATGTGTGAGGAACATGTGTGAGCATGTGAGGACATGTGAGGAGCATGTGTGAGGAGCATGTGTGAGGAGCATGTGTGAGGAGCATGTGTGAGGAGCATGTGTGAGGAGCATGTGTGAGGAGCATGTGTGAGGAGCATGTGTGAGGAGCATGTGTGAGGAGCATGTGTGAGGAGCAAGTGTGAGGAGCAAGTGTGAGGAGCAAGTGTGAGGAACATGTGTGAGGAACATGTGTGAGGAGCAAGTGTGAGGAGCAAGTGTGAGGAACATGTGTGAGGAGCATGTGTGAGGAGCATGTGTGAGGAGCATGTGTGAGGAGCATGTGTGAGGACATGTGTGAGGAGCATGTGTGAGGCATGAGCATGTGTGAGGAGCATGTGTGAGGAGCATGTGTGAGGAGCATGTGTGAGGAGCATGTGTGAGGAGCATGTGTGAGGAGCATGTGTGAGGAGCAGGACAGGTCTGGAGGTATGACCTTGGAAGTTTTGGTCCCTGAAGAGTTCCTGATGGCATACAGCCCATCGGGACACACCCTGCTCTCTCGAAACAGTCTGCAAACATGACATCATCAACATCATCATCATCATCACCACCATCATCATCATCATCATCACACACACATTGTAGTATGACACAGCTCTGACATGTAAAGTATGTTTTATATGTGGGAAAACCCTGTCAAAGATCTAGCAGGAGATAAAGGGGCGTGATTGAAGACCATACAGTGTTTATGATTTAAATGGAGTGTTCAATAATGCACTTGAATTATTTTTAAGAATAAGACTGATGTACAGTATTTTGTGTGAATGATGAAATGAAAGTGGTTCAGTCCACCATAATGCTAAACTTGCAGTTTTCCTATGATCCACTAGATGTCAGGGTGGGCATATTTTAAGTGTGCAATTGGAGACGTGCTGTTAATTCATGTTTTATTGTAACGATGAATATGTGTCTAAATGAGATTAGCATGTGATGGATGATAATCAAACATGTTTATTACCGTTAGAAAAGTGCAGTATCTTGTGTATTATTCGAAAAGTATTATATGCAAAGTATTCAAGCATTTCTGTCTTTGTTTAGTCTGTGTGTTTGTGGTTTGTCTTTCTGACAAATGCACATAACCCCATACACATAATAATAGTTCAAATGATTAGCTGGTTTAGAAAATGATCATAATAATCATACTGTAGAAACGGAAAATACAAGAATCAATTTGAGATATTCCTACAGTTTACTAGGAATGCAACAGTATTTGATACAATATCGAATCATTCGATACTGGTCTCACAATTCGTTACACGTGTTTGTTCGATACATGTGTTGTATGCACGGGTCCTTCCATGCAGCAAGAAAACAGCTCCATATGGACTTACAGCTGAAATATTCCATCAGGGGTGGATTTTATATTTAACTCACTTTTTATTTACGTTGATTACGTTGATCCAGGAATGACAGACATATTCACTTTTAAATACTTTAGAATCGCTTTTGGCTTCATATCGGCTTTAATCAAATGTGCTCGTATACACACATGTGACGCGACTCGTGATAAACACAATCTTTTTCTCACAAATAAAAGATTGATAAGTAAAAGTAAAAGTCTCATAAGTATTAGTCAGAAAACTGTTAAGACATTTCTATGTAATATAACAGAGTTTAAGTGTTCAGAAAGAGGACAGGAGAGTGCAGTGTGTAAGAACACAGACTGTAGCAGAGCAATGTGGGAGGAGCTACGTACTATCTCTGCTGGAGGGGGCAGTGTGGGAGGAGCTACGTACTATCTCTGCTGGAGGGGGCAGTGTGGGAGGAGCTACGTATTATCTCTGCTGGAGGCAGTGGAGGACTACGTACTGTCTCTGGGAGGGGGCAGTGTGGGAGGAACTACGTACTGTCTCTGCTGGAGGGGGCAGTGTGGGAGGAGCTACGTACTATCTCTGCTGGAGGGGGCAGTGTGGGAGGAGCTACGTACTATCTCTGCTGGAGGGGGCAGAGCAGTGGACACAGGCATGTGATGCAGTGAAACTCAGTAGGAAAAGAAATCAAATCATCATCAAATAAGGGAAAGTCTGATAGTGTAACTCTGCTACAGTCTGTATGAAGAGTAGACTGGTTTATTATAAAATATAAAATAGCCACAGAAACTCACTGAATAAAAATTCTGAGCTGTAAATCATTGAACCAAATGAGCTAAAACACTTCATATATGAAATAGTACAGTAGTTCTACTGTGTTATTATAGTATACTAATTAGCAGAAAAAATTACATGAGATATGTTTGCATCTTGAAACATATAAAAATCGAATCAATATCGTGACCCGTGTATCGAGATACCTGTTAAATCATAGGAAACCATATTGTTCTATCCCTACAGGTGAGTCAAAAATCTTAAATTTAGAGATATGAATTTGAACATTCTTCTGTAGTCTGCTTACATAAAAGTCAGTTTATGTTAAAAAAAACAACAACAAATAAATAAAAAAATAAAAAATCATGTGATGTTTAAAAATGGCTAGAATTGACCATTTCTGAGACATATGGATCTCAAAATTAGATGGACCCAGGTATAAATGTCTTACTTCTTCTTTTACTTCTTCTTACTTAAGGTTGTATGGTTCGTTATGTGTCAGTGCGACTTTAAGGGCTTCTGTGAGGGAAGCTGTAGAAGTGACAGTGTTGAGGTGCTTTAGTGTGCAGGGTCTTACTTCTCCACGAAGCTGGTCTCTATGGAGTCAATGAACACAGAGTCTGGGAGCTGTACCTGAAACACACACGAGACAAGACAGTGACGTCACTAAGCCAATTTACAGGACAGATCTGTGGAGTGGTGACCTCTCTGCTGATTCTGAAGTGCAACACTTCAAACTCATTCCTCACCTTCATCTTATTTAGTCCATTATGAGTTTATGAGTGCGTTTCACAACTTTCAGAGGTCAGAGTGGATTTTGCTGCCCTGTCATTGCTAATAACAGCTAGCACACTAACAGCGCACCGGCATCACTTCCTAGTTCACAGACAGTGTCGGGGAGTAACAGATTACAAGTACCAGAGTTACGTAATCAGAGTACAAATTATGAGTAACTGTATTCAGTTACAGTTACTGTTTCAATGAGAGGTAATTGGGTTATGGCGGTATTTTCCTGTTCTCCCGTTTTCACATTTTGGGCTATATCCCCTTTTTTTCTTTTTTTTTTTTTTTTTCGGTAATTCCACTCATTGCCGGAAACTAAACCAGGTCTAAACTAGATCTAAACCAGGACTAAAACCAGGTCTAAACTAGATCTAAAGTAGACCTAAACCAGGTCTAAACCAGGTCTAAAACAGGTCTAAACCAGGACTAAAACAGGTCTAAACTAGATCTAAACCAGGTCTAAACCAGGTCTAAAATAGGTCTAAAACCAGGACTAAACCAGGACTAAACCATGCTGCGCGGACGTGTCTCCTCGTCTTCTATCAATAATATTTTTTTTATTTGGTTCAGTAAAGTCTGGGCTTTTTATTTTTTTTTAGCCAACAAAACATCTGATGTTACGATATCCTAGTCTTTGTTTCTCTACAGCAAGTCAAGTAATCCAAAGTATTCAGATTACGTTACTCACTTTAAGTAATTTAATGGATTACGTTACAAACTACATTTTGGTGTATGTAATCTGTAATCTGTAGGGGAATACATTTTAAAAGTCACCTTCCCAACACTGTTCACAGATGATACAGAACGTCATATAATTTATATGTAGAGAGCGCACAGCAGTCTCATTTTTACATTCTGAATAGCTGCTTCTACAATTTATCTATTGTGGCAAAAAAACAAACAAACAAACAAACAAACAAACAAACAAACAGGTACATAGCCCCTTGAAATAAATACTAGATATAAATTGAAAGGGGCCGCATTAATCACTCTTCTCTTCTATGCTGCAATGTAAATGGAACAGTAACAATGTAACATGTAACAATATGTGGCAGTTCATTTGTTGTGCCCATAGATGGCGCTAGTGTATTTAGATTTGTTGTTAGAGAGTTTTCTAATTTTCTTTTATAGTATTTTGTATTTGGTTTCTCATTGTTTGTCGATCATTTATAAGGCCATTTATGAGCAATATTATTTTATTTTGTGCAATATTATGAATTTTTATTTTCATTTAGTTCAAGGTTAAGTTTAATACATTGGTTTGTTTACTTGCATTGTTTACTTACTTGTATGAAATGTTTTGCTTTGTGTTTATAATGTGAGCTACTTCTCATGTTCTATTGTATGTTTTTAGTGCTACAGTGTGAACTGTGATACCAGCAAAACCGCAGTAAACATCAGTCAAAAAAAGAACCTCTTGTTTCTCACGTTTGTGAACAAGCCGGCATAGGAGTTTCCTCATCAAAATCAAACCTGGGATTGTGTTTTGTTTCATTCACACATGTTTAACACACAAATCCTTAAATATAGTTTAAGCCCTGGAATTGCCCATTTCTGTTAACTTGACACCACCGCTTCATGTCATCACAAAGAGCTTTGGAGTTGTAGACAGATAAATAATAAAGAGTAACTCAAACATGTGTGAATGAAACAAAACAAAAGCCACCCGATGTCGAGTTTTCAAGGTAACAACATTTTAACATGGCTTAAGCTCACAAGAGTACGATGGGCATAGTAAAACATATTTAATTCCATAGACTGTGAAAAAGTGATAACTTATAGAAAAGCTGGTGTCTCCAAAGGTTGCTTCTGCCTGAGGTCCTTCAGGTTTGAGGACCAGACTGGAGTTGAGGTTGGACTCACGTTCTCGTAGTCGTCGTCGTCGTCCTCCTCCTCCTCGTGTGGCCTGACCCGGTTGGGTTTGGCCTGGTTCCACCTGCTCCTGATGTCCTCAGGGAGCTCGTCTGCAGAAGCCCGGAAACTCTGTCCATCGGGAGACGCTCTTCTGACAGGACAGACAGGACATTAACCTCACATGCACACGGAGAACACACCGCTAAATTATACTGCTAACTGTAAAGAGAGTTTGAATAGGGCTCAGGAGAGATCACTAGATTACTTAAACATGCATGGATGACATCTAAACCTCTTCAGACATGTTTTTGATGAGGGAACAACATTATAAGTTGATTTTCTATAATAAATCCTTTAGACCCCTAAAATTCTTGCTTAACTGAACCTGTGTCACCGAAAGTCTTCTGAATACAGAAGCGTTAACAGGCCCAAAGGAGACTCATGTGAGGCACATTCTGCTTTCTGACTGGATTAGTCTTGATTAGTCTTGAACCAAAATGCCAAATGATAAGATCCAGTGTTTTCAGCATTGCTATTGTTATCAGTAAGTACACTATGATTATATTTAATTTAACCATGTTTACCTCTGGGGACTCAGACAAGTCAAGTTACTGAAATGTAAAATCCAAATCTTACATACAGTTTCCTGAAGTCCAGTGCCATGGTAAATGTCAGAGGACTTACCCCAGAGAGCTGGTGGAGGGGGGCTTTCGGGACGCAGGCAGGGGAGGTTTGTTTGTTGGAGGGGGGGGCTTCGGTTTGGGTTTGTACGAGTGGTTTCCAAGTGATGGTCCATGGGCGGAGCTGTGAGCGGGGCTCTGAGCTGAACTCTGGACAGCGCTGGGGGTGGGGTTATAGGCTTGACAATGGGCAGGGTTGTGGGTGGGGCTATGGGCTTTGATGTCTGTAGGGCTGTTGATGGAGCTGTGGGCGGGGCTACGTGCTTGGGTGTTGGTCGGGCTTGGCGTGGGGCTACGGGTGTGACCAAGTAAAGGGCTACGGCCTTGACTGTGGGCGGGGCTGTGGGTGGGGCTTGGGGCGGGGCGGTTGAGCCGCAACTGTGACTCCAGCTTCTCACAGATGGGTAGTGTGGCGGGAGTGTGCAGGATCACAGGTGGGGGCGCTCCCGGTTTTCCCCTGGCCCAGGTCTGGAGAATGCCCGTCTGGGGTTGGGGGGTGGAAGGGGAGGGGTCACACCAGGAAAAGCCATGGGTCTTTGCAAGTGAGGGGCAAAGGGTGGGTCGGGGGGTGGGCCTTTATGAGTGGGTTGGGGTGGGATGGGAGGGGGAGGCTTTTTGGGGAGGGGGCTGGTGGGGATACGGTGAAGGGGTGGGGGAATGGGCGGGGCTTTGGAATTTGGAGGGAGCTGATTGGACAGAGCAGATGACAGAGGGACAGGGGGAGGAGGATATGACGGCGGGGGGGCTGTGGGTCGACCTGCACACACAAGAGACACACTGAGTACAGGAGGGGTCCTGTCACACTGTCATCATTTAAAGTGGGTTATCTGTCAGTGTTTGTGGTCACACTCAACTACCATGTTTTCATGATATCAGTGGAGTATTTTTTCAACCAGGGTTAGATTTTTGGATGGGTTTAAGAACACAGTTATGGGTTAGTTAAGTTTAGGAAGATGTAATAATGAATAAATAATAATAAATGTATTTTGATATTTTCAATTGGATGTGTCTCACGTTAAATATGCAGTGCTAGTGTGAGCCTGGGTTACAAAGTGCACATTTAAGAGCAGAGTGAACAGTCTGCTGTCTAATAGCTTCTACTGAGACAGTTAAGACTCATTTTTCTCTTGTGATCAATTAAGGGATGCTATCTTTCCATTTGGAGAAGACACCATAGCTGCACAGGAGATGTGCTTACCTGTGTTTGAGGGTGGACTGTCTGGCTTCAAGTAGTCTTCATCATCGTCATCATCATCCTCATCTGTGTAACCTACAACACAAAGACTTGTGTTAGGATTTGATCTGCAGATGAGGTTTTAATAATACTTTGATAATCATTCAGACTAAGTTACTTTACAATGTTACAGTGGGCATTATTTAATCATTTCAACACTCAGGCAGACAGAAACGAGGCTGCATTGAGAATTATGAACCAGAATGACTGGCAAAACTCCACGCCGGATGGTCTGCTCTCTTGTTTCAATGACGCTTGCACTGAGTTTTTGGATGCTGTGGCTCCACTAAGGCTAAAGCGCGCAAAGCCCATGGCACAGCCTTGGCTAAATGAAAATAAGTGTGAGGCTACACGCACATGTAGACGCGCAGAAAGGAAATGGAAATGCAAATATTAAGAGACAGTTTGGTCAAATATCAGAGGGTAGTTAAAGCTGCTAAATGTAGTTTTATATCAAACATTGTATCAACAAACTGCCACAAACCTCAGATTCATTTTAGTACTTTGAAGTCTCTGGTAAATCCATGTATGACAAATGTGGCTGTGCCCTCATCTACACTCTGTGAAAGTTCTGATCATTCTTTAGGGATAAAGTCTCAACTCTTAGACTGTCAGTGCCTTCTGCTGTGGACCTTGTAGCTTCAACAGTCTGTAATTCAGTTTTTGAGTGTTTTGAACCAGTGTCTCTTTTGGACCTGAAAAAAATTGTTCAACAGCTAAAGCCTCCCTTCTGTCCTCTAGATATTATTCCAAGTCGTCTGTTCAAGGATGTTTTTGATTCTATTGGACCTTACATTGCTTTTGTTGTGAACTCACCTCTGATGTCTGGTTGTTTTCCCACTGCCCTGAAACATGCTGTAGTCCAACCACTTATGAAAAAGCCTAATCTTGACCTAAATGTTCTTTAGACCTATCTCAAAGTTGCCCTTTTTATCTAAGGTTTTAGAGAAGGTTGCTTATGACCAGCTACAGTCTTACCTTAATCTTAATGAAATTGGTGACAAATTCCAATCTGGTTTTAAATCTCAGCACAGTACAGAAACAGCTCTTTTAAAAGTTTTTAATGACCTGCTTTTAACTGTTGACTCTGGGAAATTAGCTGTTCTTTTGCTTTTAGACTTGGTGGATCACAGCGTCCTTCTGTCTCGCCTGGAGGGAGACACTTGTGGGCATTAAGGGCACAGCCCTCTGTTGGTTCCGGTCATATCTGTCAGACAGGAGTGTTTCTGTAAACTTAGGACAGTAGTCCTCCTCTGTGTCTCCTTTACAGTACAGTGTGCATCAGGGTTCTACATTTGCTCTGTACATGCTCCCCTGGGTGATGTTTTTAGAAAGCACAATGTCACTTTTCACAGTTTTGCAGATGACATTCAAATTTATCTGCCAGTGACTGCAATTGACAGCCAGAGCACGGTCAAAGCTCTGCAGGACTGTCTCAGGGATGTACAGACTTGAGTGCAAACTTCCTGAATCTAACTCACAAAAAAAAAAAAAAAAAAAAAAAAAAAAAGATTGTGGTGTTTGGGCAAACTAACCCACTGCTTGGGCAGGACAGTGTGACTGGTCCTGTTGTCTCCTGCAGTGAGCTGCAGGGGTGACTGTGGACTCCATGTTCAAACTGGACAAGCACATAAGAGCTGTGATTAAGTCCAGCTTCCTTCAGTTAAGGCTCCTCGCTAAAGTAAAGCCATACCTCCCATGGGCAGAGTTCGAAAAAGCTATCCATACTTTTGTGACATCACGCCTGGACTACTGCAATTCTTTGTATGTGGGGTTAGATCAGGGCTCCCTGCAGCGCTTACATGTCCAGAACGCTGCAGCTCGTCTGCAGACAAATACTAAGAAACGTGAACACATCACACCTGTTCTGTGTGACCTGCACTGTTATTCATTGTTTTCAAATATTTACACTCTATGGGTCCAGTCTGTTTGGAGGGGTACTGCAGCCCTGTCCTCCACCCAGAGCTCTGAGATCAGCTGACCAGCTCCTGTTGGTTGTGCCCAAAACTAGACTCAAGAAGAGAGGTGGTGGAGGCTTTTCTGTGGCAGAGCCTGGACTGTGGAAGAGCCTTCCTCTTCCTGTCAGATCCTCTCAGTCTTAACGCAGTTTAAGACTAGACTGAAAACTCACCTCTTCTCCCTGCATTTAGGACAAGCCAGTCACTTTATCTTGGTGTTTTTATTGTAGTTTTCAGTTGTTATCTGTATATATGTATTTGTAACTGTTTCTTCTGTTTTGTTGACTTGTATGTGAAGCACTTTGGTCACCTGAAGTTGTTTTAAATGTGCTATAGAACTAATCTTGAATTGAATTGTCAGTCTGTTCACCACAGAACACTCATGCACACATCACATTCATATAGGCAATGTGGGAGAAGTGCCTTGCCTAAGGACATAAAAATAGTTTATACCACTGGTGACCCAGTGTGGCACCTGGTATTCTCACTGGTGCCATTCAGATACTGAACAGATCCAGCCCTGCTGAGCTTCTAAGATCTGATGGGATCAGGCTTTGACAAGGAGGATTTTACTTTTACGTAAGTATTTTCTTGGACTACTCGTAATTCTGATATAGTTTTACTATATATACTGTTTTCATCAGTGTGCCCCAGGGCTGATGTGGCTACAATACCTTACCAAAATCCAGAGTTAAGTGAAATTGTTCAATTAAACATATGCATGTTGTGCCTTTAATTGGCTTATTAAATATACACCCTCTGCTGTTAGCAGTAGGAATGTATAAAAACCCTTCTCTGGAGCTCTAAAGCAGGACAAGAGGCATACTGTACCATCATCTGTGTTGTCAATTGGATGCTTCAGGTCCAAAGGCCTCTCAATGGTCCCATAGAAACTGTCTGCATCTGAGTCTGTGTCACTGCTGAAAGAGAAGAGTTAGCGTTAGAGTTAGTGAGACCAGAAGAAACCTGCTCCAGCTCTGCTCCAGAGTAAAACTTGCTCCAGCTCTTAAGGCACAGGACAGCTGGAGCAGGTTTACTCTGGTCTCATGTATGAGCTGGGCTCTGGTGGGATAGTACCTTTAATAAATATTGAGCATAGTTTTATATCAGTGAAGTGAGTTTGTTGGGAACAAAGAAACAAAGATACAAAAATACAGATAGCTCTGAGTTCTAAAATGGAATCCCTCTGCCAATGTCATCAACACAGAAAATGTCATCCTAAATGCAGAAACAATTTATGCACAAGGAAGGATGTTTTCTGACAGTTTAAACCTTCACTGAAATTGTTGTTTAATCGAAACATTTTTACGATTAAGCTAATTAAATCAATGTGCTGTCATTTATTTTATTAGCTTAATCATAACTATTGGGTAATTTCGACAAGATTTGGCCCTTGTTCTCTCCTCACACTGCCCTGACACTGATCTGCTGACCCTCCCTGACTGCATCAAAATTTCCCTCAGGATCAATCAAGTATTTCTCTGTCTTATTAATATTATGCTATAGTTGCTATATGTAACAGTTCTGGAATTACCTCTATGTATGTCACATCACCCACCAAATTTAATAAGGACTACATACATCAGTTTCATTCTGTTAACCATCTTTCAGACAAATATATAGTGTACCTGGTCGTGTGGCCATCCTGTCGGTCATTGTAGTGGTCGATCTCCCTGCGCAAGTGCCTCATCCAGCTCTGCAACACAGCACCGTCAGACCACACCCACTGTGAGCTCCGCCCCCCACAGCACCGTCAGACCACACCCACTGTGAGCTCCGCCCCCCACAGCACTGTCAGACCACGCCCACTGTGAGCCCCGCCCCCACACAGCACTGTGAAACCACACCCACTGTGAGCCCCGCCCCCACAGTCATAGTACTGGTGATCAGATAACATTATATTTACTTTTCATTTCATTTCATCAACTAAATCTTGCATTGACCCAAACCATGAGAAAAGGTGTGGACTCTCACCCTGCGCTCCTCCTCGCTGGCTGCGGAGAACAGCCACGTGCGATGCTTCTTACTGAAGTGGACGATCTTAAAGGGGAACACATTACTGGATGTGGTCTCCTCTGCTGCTCGCATCACCCTGGAACAGACATACTCACTTACATTTATTTGAGTAACTTTTAAAATAAATTTTACTCATAAGAGTACTTTTCTAGCAACATACTTTTACTCTAGCTTGTTTAATATTTTTGACTGAAGTAAGAGTACTCTTATTTGAGTAAAAGTTTAGGTTACTCTTCACACTATGAGTAAATCCACAGTGACAAAAAGTGACTAAAGCTTTATGTTGACAAGAAATGATTTGTATATTTGTGTTTCTTGTCCCATTTCTGTGTCTATACTTGACTTTATGCTTTAGTTAATGTTTTGTTCTTCACATTACATGAACTTATAAATCAGCGTTTACATCCCTGCTGTTACTCTTTAAGTCACTTTTACTTGAGTAAAATTTTTGGGTACTCTATCACCTCTGCCCTGGAATCCCATCACAAGCACAAGGAGCTCTTTATCATGTGTGACATTTACAGAAGAACACTGGATCTATGAGACCCAGGCCCTGAAGGCCCTGGAGGCATTGGCTCATATCTGCTCATGCAGTTTATACAATCCAGCCTTTTTCAAACAGATGGAGCTCACATGCATGTTGCTGAATTTGAGATCCTAAACTAAAATGATGACATGGGCCCATAGAACTGTCCACAAATGGCACAGCCTTACCATCCCTCCATTTTCCAGAGAAATGCTGAAGCGTAAAGGTCCTATATTATGTAAAGTTGGTTAGAATGTTGTTACCTCCTCAAAAACATAGAGTTGTGTTTGTTTCATTCACACGTTTAAGTAACCCTTTATTATTAGCCTGTGTACATCTGTGACGCTCAGAATGCTCTGTTCCACCTTATGATGTCATGAAACGATAGTCTCAACTGAGCTGCTTTATTCTACAATACAGTAAAATAACCTGAAGTTCCATCCATCCATTTTCTTTCGCTTATCCGAGGCCAGGTCACGGGGGCAGCAGTCTAAGCAGGGACTCCCAGACTTCCTTCACCCCAGACACTTCCTCCAGCTCCTCCAGGAGAACCCTGAGGTGTTCAGAGGCCAGCCCAGAGACATAGTCCCTCCAGTGTGTCCTGGGTCTTCCCCGGGGCCTCCTCCCGGTAGGACATGCCTGGAACACCTCCAGAGGAGGGCCCAGGAGGCATCCGGAACAGATGCCCGAGCCACCTCAACTGGCTCCCGTGTGACTGAGCTCCTCACCCTATCTCTAAGGGAGCGCCCAGCCACCCTGCAGAGGAAACTCATTTTGAGCGCTTGTATCCGCGATCTTGTCCTTTCGGTCATTACCCAGAGCTCATGACCATAGGTGAGAGTGGGAACGAAGACTGACCTGTAAAATCGAAAGCTTTGCCTTTCTGCTCAGCTCCCTCTTCACCACAACGGTCCGATACAGCGACAGCATCACTGCAGATGCTGCACCGATCCACCTGTCAATGTCACGCTCCATCCTCCCCTCATGAACAAGACCCCGAGATACTTAAACTCCTCCACTTGAGGCAAGGACTCTCCACCCACCCGGACAGGGAGAGGGGATAACCTGATGTTGTTACCTTCAAAAAAGTTTTACTTTTACCTTTTGTTCAGTTGAGATGGCCAAATATCCAAGAACATTCAGCAAGGCTTAAACAACAACTGCAGCTTCAAAGTTTAGCAATTCCAATTTTTAAATCATTCAAGTGAAGGTGTGCGGAGTTTAAAAACACAGTGGAGAGCTTGCAGATATGCAGGGTTTAAGTGTTAAATATGTGTGAATGAAACAAAACACAACTCAGCGTATGTTTGTGATGAGGATACAACACTGTAACATTAGGCCTTTTGCATTTGCCTTTGTGACCCCAGAAATACCACTGCTTTGGAACGATGAACTAAACATGAACTTTGTCCCATTGTTTTCATGAGGAAAAGCCCTGTGAATAATGAGAATAGTATTGTATGGTATATCTCAGGGGACAATAGGACAGTGTGTGGGAAGCCTGACCTGTTGTAGCCGTTGAGAGAGAATGCCCCCTGTGGAGCGGCGGAGGTACTGCTCTTGAAATAGTACACGCAGCCTTTGTGGATGATGATGTAGCGCAGTGGCCCTGTGTGGAAAAATCACACCAGTGAAACAGCTGCAGCCTCCATAGTCCTGGTTTAGTCTTGTTTTAGTCCTGGTTTTCTTGGTTCAGTCCTGGTTTTGTCCTATTATAGTTTAATTCTGGTTCAGTCCTGTTCCTTCCTCTTGTTGTGGGTTGTACAGGAGTAGGTTCTGAGTATTTTGGCTCAGATGCACCTGTCCCGCTCCTCATTGCCCACACACAAAATACAAAAAAATGAAATAAAATCATATGAGACCCTTTTGAATACTAAAAGGTTCAGTCCAGGTTTTGCCCAGGTTTAGTCCTGGTTAAGTCCAGGTTTAGCCCAGATTTAGTCCAGGTTCAGTCCAGGTTTAGTCCATCTTCAATCCAGATTAAGTCCAGGTTTTGTTCAGGTTCAGTCCAGGTTTAGCCCAAGTTTAGTCCAGGTTCAGTCCAGATTCAGTCCAGGTTCAGTCCAGGTTCAGTCCAGGTTCAGTCCAGGTTTAGTCCAGGTTTAGTCCAGGTTCAGTCCAGGTTTAGTCCAGGTTCAGTCCAGGTTCAGTCCAGGTTCAGTCCAGGTTTAGTCCAGGTTTAGCCCAGGTTTAGTCCAGGTTTAGTCTAGGTTTAGTCCAGGTTTATTCCAGGTTCAGTCCAGGTTCAGTCCAGGTTTAGTCCAGGTTCAGTCCAGGTTTAGTCCAGGTTCAGTCCAGGTTCAGTCAGGGTTTAGTCCAGGTTTAGCCCAGGTTTAGTCCAGGTTCAGTCCAGGTTCAGTCAGGGTTTAGTCCAGGTTTAGTCCAGGTTCAGTCCAGGTTTAGTCCAGGTTCAGTCCAGGTTCAGTCAGGGTTTAGTCCAGGTTTAGCCCAGGTTTAGTCCAGGTTCAGTCCAGGTTCAGTCAGGGTTTAGTCCAGGTTTAGCCCAGGTTTAGTCCAGGTTCAGTCCAGGTTCAGTCAGGGTTTAGTCCAGGTTTAGTCCAGGTTCAGTCCAGGTTCCAGTCCAGGTTCAGTTTTAGTCCAGGTTTAGCCCAGGTTTAGTCCAGGTTCAGTCCAGGTTCAGTCAGGGTTTAGTCCAGGTTTAGCCCAGGTTTAGTCCAGGTTCAGTCCAGGTTCAGTCAGGGTTTAGTCCAGGTTTAGTCCAGGTTTAGCCCAGGTTTAGACCAGGTTCAGTCCAGGTTTAGCCCAGGTTTATTCCAGGTTGAGTGCAGGTTTAGCTGTGTGTAGTCCTGATGGGCACTCACACTTGAGCAGGCTGAACTGGCTGCCTCCCTTCTTGTGCAGGTATCCGGCGGTGGACACGCCCCCAGGCATGGTGAGCAGGTTCTGAGCCCCGATGGCCCTCATGGGGATGGGCCACACGGGCTCTGCGGACGCCATGCTCCTGAAACACACAGGTACATGTGAGTATGCTGGAAAGTACCTGAGCAGTCAACTTAAAACTGCACAGTGTCACTTTTCTGCTTGTCTCCATGGAGATGTTAATGCTTTGCCCGGAATATTCCACAGTATCACAGCAACTGTACGTGTGCATTATTTCAGGCTTTGTCCTTCCAATTATATTCACTTCAAGTTATAAATTACTCTTTTAAGGTACTCTTACTAGTAGTAGTTTTTCCCAAAAACTTTATACTCTTACTTGAGTAAGTTCTTGGACCACTACTTTGTACTTCTACTTGAAAAATATTATTTTGAAGTAACACTACTGTTACAGATGAGAGGTGGAGGTTGCACAGGAATGAACACAGAGTCCGAGACAGACAGTACCAGGCACATGAGACATGCCAACCCTGTCCTCCTCCTCCTCCTCCTCTCCTCCTCCTCCTCCTCCTCCTCCTCCTCCTCCTCCTCCTCCTCCTCCTCCTCCTCCTCCTCCTCCTCCTCCTCCTCCTCCTCCTCCTCCTCCTCCTCACCTCCTCCTCCTCCTCCTCCTCCTCTCCTCCTCCTCCTCCTCCTCCTCCTCCTCCTCCTCCTCCTCCTCCTCCTCCTCCTCCTCCTCCTCCTCCTCCTCCTCCTCCTCCTCCTCCTCCTCCTCCTCCTCCTCCTCCTCCTCCTCCTCCTCCTCCTCCTCCTCCTCCTCCCTCCTCCTCCTCCTCCTCCTCCTCCCTCCTCCTCCTCCTCCTCCTCCCTCCTCCTCCTCCTCCTCCTCCTCCTCCTCCTCCTCCTCCTCCTCCTCCTCCTCCTCCTCCTCCTCCTCCTCCTCCTCCTCCTCCTCCTCCTCTCCTCCTCTCCTCTCCTTTGGCATGTGCTAAATCCCTCTGCCTATGCTGGAAAATTCCATCCAAAAGTTGAAACAGTTTAAACAGGACGTTTTTCTGACATTGAACGTCCATTTAACTAAATACACTGTAAATTAGACAAGTGTTACATTATGGTTCCTACGTAACATGTCCAGCCTGGAAGTAAAATTCTAATAGAAAAAATGTCAGATATTTTGAGTAAAAAACGTCAGCTCTAAAGAGGCAGCATGTATTTACTACAGTCATACTTGTAATTATTCATGCAAAGTTCATTTGTGAACTGTGAAAAGGCCCATATTAAGATATTTTCTGATCTAAGTTATAATGTTGTTTCCTCATCACAAACAGACCTAGAGATGTGTTTTGTTTAATAATAATAAAGGGTTACTCAAACATGCGTGAATGAATGAACATAACAATATTTGAAAATGACTTAAAGCACCAGTTTTGTGTAATATAGGACCTGTGGCCCTAACTGCAAGACAAATTTTGGATATTGGTGTCATCTGAAGAAAAAACTAACAAAAAAACAGCTCAGTTCTATCCAACTTTCCCTACTTAATAAAGATCCAGATGTGACTGTGTGATCTGGGTCTGTGTGTTTGAGACCAATCACAGATCACAGACACGTGAGCTGAAGACAGAAGTGAAAGGAAACATGAACCCACTCAAGCACTCGAGAAGTCCCGTGGAGCCACCTGTCCACCCTGTCCACCACAGCATTCTGTCTCAGGAGACTGGCTCCAGACTGGAGCAGAGAGGGACGATCCATCAGACACCTGGCCCAGGACAGTCCAGTTGGGACAATCTGAATAGGGCTGTACAGAGGGGAACACCCCAAACACCTCACATGGGTGGAACACTCCAGAGGACACTTCAGGTGGGACACTCCAGAGGACACTTCAAGTGGAACACACTCCAGAGGACAATTCAGGTGGAACACTCCAGAGGACACTTCAAGTGGAACACTCCAGAGGACACTTCAGGTGGAACACTCCAGAGGACACTTCAGGTGGAACACTCCAGAGGACACTTCAGGTGGAACACTCCAGAGGACACTTCAGGTGGAACACTCCAGAGGACACTTCAGGTGGAACACTCCAGAGGACACTTCAGGTGGAACACTCCAGAGGACGCTTCAGGTGGAACACTCCAGAGGACGCTTCAGGTGGAACACTCCAGAGGACGCTTCAGGTGCAACACTCCAGAGGACGCTTCAGGCGGAACACTCCAGAGGACGCTTCAGGTGGAACACTCCAGAGGACACTTCAGGTGGAACACTCCAGAGGACACCTCAGGTGGAACACTCCAGAGGACACCTCAGGTGGAACACTCCAGAGAGAGCATGTCATGCAGGACTGAGGGGACTGCTGGCAGGACCAGTCACAGGGTGAGGGTTCAGCTCTGGGACAGTCTTGCGGGTGCTGCTCTTGCAGGCGTCTGTCTCTGATGTGAGCTCTGTTCCTTGTTGTTGGTCTTTTACAGATTGGGATCAGAGCCCCTCCCTCCCCATAAAGACTGAGCACAGATAAGACTCTTGTGCAAACACAGTTTACAGGAACTCACAGAACATGGCAAGGACGGCTCTTATCTAGTCCTGCTGAAGTCCTGACATAGTCCTGGCATGGTCCTGGTTAAGTCCTGGATAAGTCAAAAAATATCAATGTCCCAAGTCAGTGCTTGATTATTTTACATAACTGATAAAATAGCAAAGTTTGGACTTTAAAAAGACAAAAAGAAGTGAAGACATTTGTGATAAAGCAGGAATGTAATGTCTTCCTCCACTGATCTAAGTCCTCACCACCTCCCCCACTTCCTTTAGAGCTCCTCCTGCTCCTTCAGAGCCCCTACAGGCTTGGGCTGGACTCAGGCACTCCTCCTGGGACTTGCTATCAAAGGATGTTTTTCAGTCTGTGTATTGTGTTCATTCTAATAATGGTGGCACATTCATGAGCAAATGTAATATTTCAAACAGCTGTGAATGTCCAGAGTGAATCTTTCTCTTTCATAATGATTATAAACAAAGCCAAGATGTGTTTTGCACTTTCACAGGACTTTGACTCATGGTCACAGGGCTATTTTCTTTCTAGTTCATTGTCTTGATAAGGTTATCTGACATGAAAGTAAACTGCACAGTACTGTGTAGACATGGGTATTTAGGTATTTAGATGAGAGATCTATGACTCATACACCAGACCTCCCTAATTGGTTAAATGATGATTACAGTGTAAAGCATTTTACTGTTTTCAAATATAGAATTGATATTTTATTGTAATATAATTACAAGCCCCTGCCCTCCATCTTAAGTGATGACATTATCCGATTCTAGAACATGAAGACAGTGTATGTGCTCCTCATGATGAAGTGAGCTTTCATGTGTGAGTATCATGGATAAAGATTGTGTGTAATAACCCCTCCACACACACAGAGTGTGAGTGTGAGCAGGTCTGTCTCTGTGGTCAGTGACTCTGGTGCTCTCCACTCAGAGCAAGACACTCTCCTCCTCATAATAATAATAATAATAATAATAATAAATAATATCAGAGTCAAATGTGGTAATGGTATGTGGTAACAGGACTCTGTGTGATACTTCCACAAGTGACATCACACTTAACTACTGTATAATACATCCTCCTCCTCCTCAATCATTCTGATTGATTTTCCACTTGTGGTCCATACAGACAAGAAAACAGGGTGACAAAAGGCAGGAGTACCAGTGTGCCCATCAAGAGGACTAAAGAGGGGAGCACACACCCACACACACACACACACACACACACACACACACAGGCACACACAGACTGGAGCTGGCCGCTGTCAGCAGCATTCTGAGGGCACACACTTTAGTGGTGTCACTTTCTTATTTTTTATTCACTGTCTATTTTTTATTCACTGTCCAAACATCCTTTTTACATCCAGATTTCAGCTCATCCATGTGCATGTTACACTACTGACACGTGCACTCCCATCAGGCTCCCATGTGGCACAGCCCCACCGTCCAAACACCACACCACCACATCAACACCACAAACACATCCATCTGCACACACACTTTCACACATCATAACTAATGTGTTACTCCAATTCAGTGTGTGAGTACAGGCCTGTGACAGCACAACGATGCTGCCCATGCCTGTGCCACCTGTGTGTGAGTGTGTGACTGTGCCAGTGTTCTACCCTCTGTGTGAGTGTGAGAGTGTGCCAGTTAGGGCTGGGCGATATGGATCAAAAAATATATCTCGATATATTTTGCTATACCTCGATATACGATATATATCTCGATATATGTTCAAGAAAAAATAACCCCCTAAAACTGAAAACTGCAAAAACAAATCTGCCAAATTCCACAAGGTCCTTTTTTTTTTTAATTTAAGTGTAAGAGGTCAGCAGTTCATATAGGAACATTTAAGATTACAAAAAACCCACATTACATAAATAATAATTTAACTGTAAAATAAAAGAAAAAATACATATTTCCTTCTTTTCGTTCATAAATAAAACAACTCAACACAAGCTCATCTTTGCATTAACTCTGTTATCCAGACCAGAACCAGAACCATGAGCTCGTTTAGCAGAAGAAGCTCAGGATGTTCCTTATTTGAACAGATCCATGTTATTATCCAGCAGTAAGGAGCTCTGAGGTTTAATCCCACAATCCACTGCAGATCAAACCCAACGTTTCCAAACACTGTTGTACAAGTGACACTGCAGCAGATTATTAATTAAAATCTTCTGCATAAATAAACTTTACATTGCTAAACTTTACAATATATAAAGCATAACGACTCTAGAGCCACATCAGCCCGTTTGAGATAATAATGTGTTTAATGCAGTTTTGAGCACGTGTGTTTACATTTTACAGAAACGAAACTTAAGCGCATGGCTCATTTGTATAAACAGTGCACTTCTCATGCAGCTCAGCTCGTTTAGTTTCTTTCTGGCTAAAGGACGCGACTTGGTGGAATGTGAGGATGTGCTGCTGATGTTCTTGTCTGTAAATGGTGGAAAAGGTTCGTGGTGCTTGAAGCTTTTCACTGACACCAACTTTCGGCGTTCACGGTGGTAGTGAGGAGTGAAGGAGACACGAGCGAACAAAATCAGGGAGGCGAGGGCGACGAGAGAGAAGACAAACAAGCGAAGCGGAGAAATCAAAATTGAATATAAGCATTATATCGATATATACGATATGTCAGAATTCATATCGAGTTTAAAAACCATATCGATATATTTAAAACATCGAGATATCGCCCACCCCTAGTGCCAGTGTTCTACCCTCTGTGTGAGTGTGTCAGTGTTCTACCCTCTGTGTGAGAGTGTTCTACCCTCTGTGTGAGTGTGTCAGTGTTCTACCCTCTGTGTGAGTGTGTCAGTGTTCTACCCTCTGTGTGAGTGTGTCAGTGTTCTACCCTCTGTGTGAGTGTGTGCCAGTGTTCTACCCTCTGTGTGAGCGTGTGCCAGTGTTCTTATTTATTGGGGAATGTTCTGATCCATCCTAGTCGAACGTCTGAGCTGTGAGAGCACTGCTCATATTTAGTCTCGAGGCTTTCCGCTGGCGTCACTCACTTCCTGTTAGAAGCTGCTTGTACTGGAAGCCCTCCTCACTTCTTGGGTGTCCCTGCCCTCTGCTGCCCGCTCATTCAGTGGTCATTAGACTGACCGCTGGCCCAGCAGGCTACACTGACCACACCAGAGTTAAAGCAGAGCACAGCCCAGATACTGCCGTGCATACAGCCACACAGAGGCACACACAGACACAGATGCAGACATGAGCGTGCAGTCACCGCAAGAAAGAACCAGCACAGCCCGCCCAGACCAAACCAAGAAAACACACTATGCATACAGCAGATACAGTAGCAGTCAAAACGTTGGACACACTTTTACATTTATGTTTCTTACCATTTACACTAGATACTTTCTGAAAGCATCAAAACTATGACACATATCATAGCAAAAAAAAAAAAACTCAAAATAAGTTTTCCCACAATTTCAAATGTGTTAAAAACCATGGGGCTGTCCTGGCCCCAGCACTGTGGACTACAGCAAACTCACACCTGGAATCATATCATGACAACAAGAAGTTTTCAGTTTGAGAGAAGAACTCATATTTAAAATAAAACACAACTACAGTGTGTTTTTGATGAGGAAACAACATTATAACATAGATCAGAATAGCATAATATGATCCCTTCATATATTTCATGTCTTCCTTATTTCCTAAAATGTAAAAAGTGGTAAACTTAAAGAAAACAAAGACTGAATGGGAGGGTGTTTCCAAAGTACCTACTAGCTCTGTATAATAAAAAGAATATAATTGAAGCCTGCCTCTAGTGGCAGTCTCTAGTAGTACATGCATTAAAGGTGCAGTTCCATTTCTGGTTTGTAAATGATCCGTTTGAAAGCTCAGACTCACATGTGGTCCCTGTGGTCAAGTACACACATCTTAGTGACGGCTTTGGAGCTTCGTGAAGACGGCTTTTTCTTCTTCACCGACACTGCCGCCATGTTGGCCCCTCACGGACACTCGTCCACATACTGCACACACATGGAGGGCCGCACTCGGGACAAGACTCGGGTCAGGACTCAGACGAGGACCGGGACAGATCAGGTAAGACCAAAGCACACTGAGTGGACACAGAGGAAGTGTGCTGTCTCTCATGCATTTCCTCCTGCTTTTACAGGCCGCCCTCTGATTGGTCAGCCTCAGACTTCCTGTTTCCGTGGAGCTTGCGTCTGATTCGCTGTGTGGGGCCTTGGTGCTTTTACAGTGAACAGGTCTGTGGGACTTTCCAGTGGACTCGAACAATAGCCCCACACACCTCCTCACTTCCTCTGTCGCTACAGCTAGTTTCACTTTCCCAGTACTACATCACAATAGAGACCACCAGGCAGGGCAAGCACGTAGGAAAAATTAGGTCTACAAACATACCAGGAGATATTTAGAGACTTCACTAGAAATGTGTATTTATGTACAGGTTTATCCATGAGACGAAATGAAGTGTCACGGACTCAGCCGTAGTAGCACAGATAAAGTTCTCTCTAAACAGGTGTCAAATATTTGTACCAAAATGAATTAAGATCAGATATTTTGGGACCATATAATTGTCTAACTGCTTTTTAAAGGATATAACAACTGTGTGTTGTTTTAAAGGTGAACACATTAGACTGAGGCCTGGTCCGCTGGCCTCACAGGGCCTCATGGCCTGGGTCAAAGAGTTTCTCCAGAGGAACTGAGAGGCTATAATGTCTACTTTCACCTGACCAAATGTTGCCTGGTTGGCATCACTTGGGTCAGTAACACTGTCCTACAATGCACTGCACTCTGCACACTGCCCCCACATTGTGGTCAGAGTTTGAATCTAAAGCAGACGGGTGCTCTCCCTCAGTCCACCCCCCTTCCCCTGTTTGAGATGTTTACTCTTAAATACACATCAAGTACAAAGTATCCTATAAAGTAATTGCACCTTGGGTGACAAGTATTTATAGAGATTAAATACTGAGGCAAGAAGTAAAGGGCTGAGTTTTAACCCCGTGGTGTGTGCGTTTCAGAACAGAAACCAGTTCATTCTTAAAATACACATCAAATGTGAAGTATTCTTAAAAGTACTCTTACTCCAGCTAATGAGTATTTACAGAGACTAAATACTGAGGCAACTAAGTGAAAACTATATTTCAACACCACGGTGTGTGTGTTTTATTTCTTAGAAAATAAGACAGTTCATCTTTAAACACATTGTGGGTGAAGTATTCTTGGGAAGTACCCTTGTTTAGCGAAATCGATGTGAAATACGTCTGAATAATTTTAATTAACATTTTGCATTCTTCAGTATTGCAAATTTTTATTCAAATTGTGATTTTGACATTTTTACTGAGTTCGATTTTCAGTTTTTTCAATTTAAATATATCAGCAATTTTTGCTTTATTTTAATTGTGTTTTAAAAATTTTGATATAGCTATTTTGCATTATTTTTTACTTTTTTAATTCGCTTTTTTGTTTTTAATTGAACTTTTGACATTCTACTGTATTGGTGATTTTTGTGAGTTTTATCGCATTCTAATTGCGATTTTGATGAGTTAGACATTTTTAAATAATCTTAAATGACATTTTGATTGGCTTTATATCTCTTAATAGTTTTAATCAAGATTCTGAAATTTTATTAAAAGAAATATTTCTGAATAGCTTTAACAGTTGGCTTGATATTGCCTAACCTTAAGCATTTCTAGAGCATTTCAAGGTAATTTCTAGAGCATTAGATATTATTATTATTACTATTATTATTATTAGTAGTAGTAGTAGTAGTAGTAGTAGTAGTAGTAGTAGTAGTAGTAGTAGTAGTAGTAGTAGTAGTAATAAATTGTTGAAATGAATGTGAGTGCTTTGCGGTTGCCGGTGTCCTACACTTCTGCCACTGCATTTAAGCCTCGTAGCTCAAGCGGTAAACTGCCCTTACCTCCAAACTCCCTGCTCGCTGTTTTCCATTTTTCTCCGCGTTGTGCTGTAGGCCTGGTGGGTGTCCCTCTTTTATTAAATGTTTTTATCTCTTTGGTTAATTGGCTCCCTCTTTGTCTGTTTATTTTAGACTCTGTAGCCGATCACCTGATGCATCTGCCTAGGAGGACACCTTTTTAACCTGCTCATTTTGCCTTTTTGTTAGGTCATTTAAGTTTGTTTTGGCTATTTTTCATTCTTTGTTTCTGTGGGTTTTTAATGTTTATTTGTGTTTTGTAAAACCGCTGGCCATTTGCCATTGTATTTGGGTCTTTTGTGTTATTTATTTTGGGTGTAATTTGTGTATATTGAGTTCATATTAATTTGTTTGTTAAACTTAGTTGTATTTTTTGGTTTGTGTTGACTTTTGTTTTTCTTGCTCTGGGACTGGTTGGATGTGGGCACCCGTCTGGTGGAGGGTTGGTGGTTGAGTCTCTCACTTCTTCTCCATCAATCCTTGTGTGCTGTGGTATTTTTTTGGTGAAAAGCGTTTCCTTGGTCCGGACGCGCTTGCTCCCACGGAAGCACAATGGCAGGAAATCATGGATTATCATCAAACAAAGAAGCTGCATTATCGTACGCATCCGACATGGACTGTTCACAGTAAAATGTTGAATCAAGCAAAAAATCATGGCGTATGACGACAAATTCATGTTTGCCACAAAGATGTACAAATGGACAAAACAAATACAGACACAAAGAGGTGAACAGCGCCCATCCTCCTCATGAAACCAAACAGCAAATGGTCTACATCTGGAAAAGAAGATTCAGATAAGATAAAGGAAGCACTTTGAGCATGAATCCGACCCTCAAGACACTCATGAGTGGGGATAAGAACCAAGACACCAGACGCAGAGGTCATCAGTATTCAACAAGAAATAAGAAATAACAAGTTATCATAGCAGCAGTGCTTGAACTTTTATACTTGTTTTTACTTACATTTATTTTCCTTCTTTTAACATGCTGGTATCTGATTGATTATGAAGGAGAAGACCTCAGACAGCTCAACGTGACGCTCAGAACTCCATTACAAACGTCACATAATATGACTCCTCCGGCTGAATAGAACAAACGATATTCAGGTATGAGACAGGGAACACTGAACAGAACTAGAACCTAAGGGGTCACTGACCCAAAGCCAGACCTAAGGACTAAAATGACTATAATGTAATACAGTGATTCTCAACCACTGTGCCGCGGCACACTAGTGTGCCGTGAGAAATTATCCAATATCACTTTTTTTAAATTAAAATTTATTAATTATTACCTGCAAACATTATGTCATTGTCGAGTGTCCGTGCTGTACTTACTACAGCACGGACACTATACTACAGTGGAGTATATAATGACTGGCAGAGTGATGATCTAATATTCGGCCGGGTGGCAACAGGCAGCTAATTGCCTCGTTCCTTTAAAACAGGGGTGCTCAATACGTCGATCGCGATCTACCAGTCGATCGCCAAGGTCGTGTGGGTAGATCGCTGTGTCTCGTCTCGGACTCGTGTTTGGACTCGGTCTTGTCTCTCACTCAAGGTCTGACACTCAACAAGTGTGATCATATTTCATTACGGCCGCTGCTGTTGGTAATAAACTTGTACAGGTGTGCCAGAGCGTGTGGGGCGTCTCAGTGCAGCCTGTGCGCACTGCGGAGACTCTACGGCGCTTTACAAACACACACGCTCCCTATGCACGGCTCGTCTGCAACATCGTGTGCCCTCGTGTACCAGCGTGCATCACAGGGCAGGTTCAACTTCCTAAACATCCTACCTGTCCATCTGCCTCACGTCAGCACGCCGCCCCTCGCCTTTTCACGCTCTCGCTCCTTCCTGCGTACAGCGAACACAAGCCCCTCCCACAGTGCGGCTGATTAGAAGAGCAAGACCAAACGTGAAGCAAAAACCAGTCTAAATTTGTGTTCCAGTGTTGGCACAAAGCAGGTCTACAGCATAGAGCGGATCTACAGAACAGACCTACTGCCACATTTGGCTGAAGTTTGTCTAACAAAAGTGCACAAATGCATCTGTGTTTGTCACGATGTGCGTTTGGTTTGGTAAATGTGCAGAGGCTGGTAAATATCACTGCAAAACCAGAAAAGAATGCAACTCCAGTTTGGAACTTTAAAAAAACAGGTTTAAAAATCTTCCTTCACTTTTTTCACAGTTTTGTGTAAAGTGCCAGAGGAAGTTCTCTTAAAGAAGAGGTTCTCAAACTGTGGGGGAGGGTCCAAAAAAGGGGCACAGAGTGTTTCAGTGCAGTTTGCTTGGTTTTGTATTAGGTAGATCTTTATGACTTGGTCATTTTGTAAGTAGCTCGTATGCTGAAAAAGTGTGAGCGCCCCTGCTTTAAAAGAATTAGTAACGCATGTGCGTGGTGACAGTCATGGAGAAGTTTTTAAAACGGACAAATGCAAACTCCGAACTGGGCCCTGGACAAGATTCTGACTCAGAAGAAGAGCTTTTCAAGCTTAACTGCTCTAAAAACTAAAAACAGAGAGAGACTGAGAGCTGTTGATGAAGAGCTTCGTGTGTGTCTTTCTTCTATTCCTGTCAGGATATCAGCTTTGTGTTCATCTAAACAGGCGCAGGTCTCACACTGAGTAAGTAGAAATTAATGTAGAAATTATATTGTAATTAAATATACTGTATAGTGTCATTTTGTAACATTTTGGTTAGTGGTGTGCCGCCAGATTTTTCCAATGTAAAAAACGTGCCGTGGCTCAAAAAAGGTTGAAAAACACTGATGTAATATATGTAGCTAACTTTGAAAACTTTGAAAGGTATATTTTCATTCATTTGTCTAGAGCCTGTAAAGTTAAAGTTAAATTCCAGATGGAATAACTGAAGTAGAATGTAAATAAAACACAAGCACCTTATCACAATCCCTCTGCCCTTGTTAAATATTAGACTGATCTATCTCTTGAGGAAATTATAAAAATCAAATCTGGCATAGATGTAAATGCCAATATGTGGCTAAAATAAGTACAATACATCACTCAAATGAAAACTGCTTGATCTGCAACTACTCCTCAAATAACTGTGGTTTCTTTCACTTCTGTCTGAAAATACTTGTCTATTGGTAGTTAGTGATAGTGATAAATAGTGACTAAATCCTAGAACTCACTGTATTACAACATTATTTTGTATTTTAACAGTTTTA